TATTGTTTGGCAAATATCAAATCCCTCCCCCTTAACCACCATGATAAGAGTATACTTTCCTACTTACATATTTTGTTTTGGGGGTGGATACTGGGGATTTAACCACTGAGCTACATCCCCAGCCCTTTTTTTTTTTGACATCTAAATTGCTTAAGTTGCTTAGGGTCTTGCTAAGTTGTTGAGGCTGGCCTTGAACTTATGATCCTCCTGTCTCAGCTTCCCAACTACTGGGATTACAGGCATGCACCATTAACACTTGGCTACTTATATTTTTAAAGAATTTTAAAAATTGGTGTATTATAATTATACATAATAGTGGAATTCATTGCGACACAAATGGGTTTCTCGTAGACAGCATATGGTTGAGTCTTGACTTCTTTTAAATCAAATCTAAAAATTTCAACCTTTGCATTGAAGTTTTTAGACCATTTAAATCTATTGTAAATGGTTGTGTTTAAAACCGCCACTTGCTATGTTTTCTGATCTGTTCTTCTGTCCGCCCCCCACCCCCTGCTTTTTTTTTTGCCTTTTTTCTTATGTCTTGAGGATAATTGTTCCAATTTTTAAAAATTTTTAATTGACAAGTAAAATTTTATACATTCACACACTGGCAAGTAAAATTTATCAATGTATAATTTACAACACTGTATATTTTTTAAATAAAATTTTTACATTTTATCAATATTTTGATACATGTTATATAATGTATGTATGCATATGGAATGAGCCAAATCAAACTATTTAGTATATACATTATCTCTCATACTTAACTTTTCTTTTTTTGGTGTATGCGTAGTGAGAACACTTAAAATCTACTCTTAGCACTGTTTAATTGTACAACATATGGTTATAACATACAGGCAACATGATAACCACGATGTACAATAGATCTCTTGAATTTATTCATCTTAACTGTAATTTTCTGTTCTTTTACCAATATTTTCTCAATTCAACTCCAAGGTTCTAATTACCATTATTTTACTCTGAGTTTTACTTTTAGATTCCACAAATTAGTGAGATCAAGCTGTGTTTGTCTGTGTCTAGTACATTTCACTTAATATACAGGTTCATCCATGTCATCACAAATCACAGAATTTCCTTCTTTTTTAAAGGCAGAATAGTACTCCATTGTATGAATAGACAACACATTTGGTATTTGTTCATCTATGATGTACACTTAAGTTGACTCCATACTTTAGTTATTGTAAATAATGCTGCAATGAATGCAGAAATGCAGGTATTTTTTTATTGCTTTTTTTTTTTAGTTATACAAGACAGTAGAATCCATTTTGACATAATTATAAAAGCATGGAATGTATCTTGTTCTAATTCAGTCCCCAGTACCTTCTCTCCCCTTCCCTGTGCATCTTCCCCTTTACTGATCTTTCTGGGAGTGCAGATATTTCTTTGATATTCTGACATCATAACCTTTGGATATACACTCAGAAGTGGGACTGCTGGATCATATAGTTCCACTTTCCCACCAAATATATACAAGGATTCCCTCATCTCTACGTACTCATCAACACTTACCTTTTGTTTTTTGATTAAAAAGGTTATGAGGGCTGGGAAGAATGCTTGCCTCGCATGTGTGAGGCACTGGGTTCAATTCTCAGCACCACATATGAATTTTTAAAAAGGGTCCATCAACAACTAAGAAAATATTAAAAAGGAAGATTATGAGATGTGATTGTGGTTTGAATTGCATTTCCATGATGATTAGTGATTTTGAGCATTTTTTTCAGATGCCCGTTGACATCTAGATGTCTTCATTTGTGAGCATATACATTATCTATTCAGGTCCCTTGCCCATTTTTAAATTGGGTTGTTTTCTTAGAGATGTGTTCCTTACATATTTTATATATTAACTCCTTATCAGGTATATAGTTTACAAAGAGATCCATTCCTTGGTCTATCTCACTTGGCTGATTGTTTCCTTAGCTTAAAGGAACTTTTTAGATCAATGTAATCCCAAGAATGCTAAAATCTATCTCCTTTGTTGACTTATTAGCTGTAATTTATGTATTTTTGGTGGTATACAGCATACAACTTTAATTTATAACCCATTTTAAAGTGGTATTAAACTAATATATATATATATATATATAAAAGCTTTGTAAAAAACATTCAGGCTTTTGTGCTATATTATCCTAAGTTTTAATTTTACATGTTGTGTATCTCAATACATTGTTATTGTTTTTACTCTTAACATGGTTGGTATTTAGGGTATTCTTTTTTCTTTTGAGTAGATACAGATTTCCATCCAGTGTATTTTTCCTTTTGCTTGAAGGATTTCCTTTAACATTTCTTGTAGTACATGTCTACTATTGATAAATTCTTTTATAAATGTATAACTTACAACACTGTATACTTTTATATAAAATTTTTACATTTTATCAACATTTTGATACAGTATATAATGTATGTATGCATTATGGAATGGGCCAAATCAAACAAACTATTTAGCGTATACTTTATCTCTCATACTTAACTTCTGTGTTTTGCACATACAAAACACCTTTATATTGGAAAGAAATTTTATTTGGTATATAATCCTACTTTTATTTTCTTCCATTGTTTTCTGGTTTGCACTGTATCTGACAAGAATTTGTTATTCTTATCTTTGTTCTGCAATGAATCCCCTCATCCTGTGGTGTGGGCCTAGTTTTATTTCAATCACTAGTTTTAAGGTAACTTGTGATATGAAAACTTGTGTTCTTCATTGGTGTTTATTAAACATTTTGGGTCTGCAGGCTTATGTTCTAGCACATTTTGAACAATTATGGCTATTACATCTTCAAATGGTTGGTTGTTTTGCCTCCCTATTCCTCCCTGATACACTGTTTTTCTGGTTTCATTTTGGATAGTTTCCATTCTGTCTTTAAGTCCACTATCTTTTCTTCTACAATGTTTAATTTGCTAATTCCATCCAATGTGTTCTCGGAAATGGTAATTTTCATTTCTAGATATCTGAATTGTTTTTTATACCACTCACTTCTCTATTTCCCTTCAATTTTCCTCTAACCTCTTAAACATAGTTCCAATTGTTTTAATGTCTTTGTCTACTAATTCTACCACCTCTTCCATTTCTGGGTCAGTGTTCATGGATGTTTTTGCCCCACTCCTCATTCCAGATTGTACTTTTTTGCACATCTGCATGCAGGATAATCTTGAACAGATGCTAGATATGGTGAAGGTTAGTTACTCATTGGATGATATGCATTTTGTGTTCCTGTACATATTCTTGAAATTTGTTCTGAAACTATTAGAGACATTTATCCTTGTGGATATAGCATTGTTAAGCAGGACCGAAGGAATACTACTACTACTGAGGAAAATTTATCAACACTATACCCACTGCTCCATGAATTACGAGGCTTTCTACCATGGCCGGCTAGAGTATATGCACTCTTGCATGAGACATGATTTTTCCTTCTAATACTTTCAGGTGGCTCCTTCTCTGGCTTCAGATAGTTTCTTCACATGCATGTGCCCATCTCTGCAGATTTCTGGAGCTTTTTGTACAGCTCCAGTTCTCTGCCCTGCGGATTGTCTTAGCCTCTCCGATCTCAGTTCTGATTTCTTAAATAGGGAGGATACACATTCCACACAGGTCCCTCATTTTCTGTGCCATAGATTGAAAATCCTCTCAGGGTAGAGAGTTGGGTCAATAGTAAGCCTTCTTTCACTTCCTTCCTTTTAGGGATTATTGTCCTTTGTGGGCTGATATCCAACGTCTGGAAAACACTTTTTTGTTTTGATGACAACACTGTATGAAATTGTTATTTCATGTATTTTGTCTATTCATTGTAGGAGGGTAAGTGTACTACTCCTTGTTAGATAAAAATAGCTTTTATGGTGGTACTACTTGGAATTGAACCTGGGGCCTCATGCAAACTAGGGTTAGGGTTAGAAGTGTTGATATACAAGTTGAAAACCTGAATCACATCAGAAAGCTGCTTCTGCTATCCACTCATTTTTTTTTATAGTCCACAAATCCTACTTCTAATATCTTGTTGGCACATTTGTTGAAATACCTCTCAAATATACCCTTCTCTACATTTTTCAACCTTGGGTTGGCCATTCATCTATGCTATTTTATAGATATTTTACTGCTAATAACCTCTGAAAAGATCTTCTTGCCTTGTCTTCAACCCAGCACATAAATTTGTTATAGATTTTTTTAAAAACCCACTATTTCCTCAGAACTTAGAATCTGATATATATGTTCATACTTAAAAAAACAAACAACACCTTGCTGAATTAATGAATTACTCTTCTTTAACAATGATGTATTAGAAAATCTAGCAAATCTCATTGCTCCCCGCTAACCATATATCAAGTCAGTGAAGTTGAATGAGGCTGCAAATCGGTGCTTTGTATGATCTGTTAATCGATCCATGAGAAGCTTGCTGCCACCCAGAATATGTGGTTCATTTCTAACATGTGTCTGAAAACTCTCACTACCTTCGAGCCTTTTCTTGCATGTGTCTTCCATCTGGTGGGTCTTTTCCATTCTAACTCTGAAAAGGCTTTTCTTTCTGGTATCCATACAGAACCTACTCTTTTCTGAATTTCCACAGCACCTGTTGTCTGTGTTTGTCTCAGCACTTTCATAGTTCTCTATTTGAGTGGGTTTTTTTCGGTTGTGCACATTTACATTTTGTCTTCTCAAATGGATGAAAATCTTGGAGAGGTAGGAACCTTTTCTTACAATTCCTTTATACATCTTAAATAGAGATTTTAAAAATGAAGGCAGAGATCTAGATTAGTTTCACACAGGGTGACAGAATTTCTTACAATAAATTGGCAGCTAACTTATCATGTTGCATTTGTTGTTCACATGTGCAATGGTAGTTCCGATGAAAAGCACCTCATAATAAAGCCTTTTGAATTTAAAATCAAATTCTATCTTACAGAATATTACTGGGTCAATGTTCTGGAGTATATTTCATCTTATTATTTTTATTTAACAAATAAAATACTGTGCCCTCAGTTTCTACAAAATAATTAATTTAACATAAGGGATGTCATATCAAATAGTATTTCCATAGAAGCCAAGAAAATCCTGGTATCACATAGCCAGTTAATACACACTGGTATTTATAATGAAAACATTCAAAATTCCTCTAAGTCTTCAAAAATTATTTATGTTGTTATGAACACATAAAATGGAAATCTAAAGTAAATATCAAGATTTCATTTTTAGTTCAAAAAATAGTGAAGTAAAATTTCCTTTCACAAAACATAAGAGTTGGCCTGAGTGAGAAAATGTAAAAAATGTCAGTTTCTACCTGATGGAAAATGCCTGAAGTCTATCTATTTTTTGAAAAGTATTTAAATGAAAGGAATGCTTATTAAAAAAATTAAATCCTTCTCATAATGACATCTTGAAAACCTACTTAATTTTACTCCTTGCCAAGTAAATTTAGAACACATCAAATAAACTCCCCCTACAGAATATTTTTGTCCTAGTAAACAGGGAATTCACATTCTGATAAAGAGCCAAAGACAAGTGCTTTATTATGAGAACTGTTCAAGTAAAATTTCAGTGTGCACCAGTGAAAGTGAAGAAAGAACTGCATCGCTCGTTCTGAAGGACACTGGAGTATAAAGGGGCTACACAGTTTTGTTTTGCTTTTTCAAACATCACCCTTTGCTAAGGCAAAAATACACTTCATTTTTGAACAGAACTATTACAGAAGAAAGCTACATCACAGTACAGTACAGAATGTAAAATTCATCTTCGTCTGGAAGCCATTACAGAATGGCACATCACCTACACTTAGAGCTTTCCAGTGTAGGTTGGAACTACAGCATTTATCACAGCTTCATTTCTCTTTGATAAAATCTGAATACACTTTCTATTTCTCAAGAGTGTGCAGATGGGGCCCATATGTTGATATTACAGTAATTACAACATTAAATAACATTGCACAGTCAACCTCCAAGGCTAATTCAGTATAAAATAACAAGTATTAAAAGGTACCTTTACTAGTGGTTTTACATTGTATACATCACTAATTATGAAAGAAAAGTAGGCAAATGCCAATTACAAAGCTGCACATTATAGGCATAATGAAGAAGAATAAATACAAGAAATCTGGCAAAATACTGAAATCAAATGGGTTACGTGGGAACAAACTGAACAGCCACATAAGCGTAAATCATTGATAAACTGTCATAAATAGTATGTTTTGCTCACAGGTCTCTTAAGTACTTACAGAGGTTATAGAGGCAGGGGTGCATGGTGGTTGAAGAGGATGGGAGGAGAATGAAGCGAATGTTCCCAATGCCAGTTAATTCCTGAGGTGGCATTATTTCTTAACTGATGCATTGATCAACACTGTAAAGACGAGTTTGTGCTATGAAACAGTCCCAATATTATTACATTTCTGCAATTATATTGCAGTATTCTGAAGGCAGCTGACCTAAGTGACAGTTTACATTATAATAGTCAGTTGAAGTATTGATTCATTTCAATTTTGCTGCTATAATTAGCAGTGGGACAGAAAACACTTCAAAGTTCAAAAGAAACTTGGAATAGATTTAATTTTCCCCAGTACTTCCTAGCTCAAGCCAAAGCTATTATTTATTTTCACGTACTTTATTTTAAAAACTCTAAGTGCTGACACTGTAAACATTTTGTATCTTCTTAACTAAACCTTGTTTGATAACAAGGCTAAGAGCAAAGATAAGCAGGAATAATTCTGTGTATAATAAAGCTGATCAGCTTCTGATTTAATTTTCAATATGATTTTAAAATAATTTTTAAAAGTCCATGCTACAATTGTAAAGACTACTTTTGTGCACTTTTAATCCTGGACACAATTTTCAAAATTGCATGACGGAGGTAAGAATTTAAAAAACCCACCAAAATGTAAATAACAGGGAAAAAACATTTTCAACTCAAAGCATCAAATGTACATTTATGTGCAGAAATCTAGACAACTATACAAGTTTTTAAGCAATCATATTTTATTATACAACTCTATGAACAAAAAACGAACAGAAATACACAATATACTTACCTGTACATGTGAACCTACTTTTTAAGCTACAGATTTATTATAGTTCATACTGACTTTAATTTTACAGTTCATAACTATGTATAACCTTATTGCATTAAGGGCAAATTCTACATGGGGAGATTCACAGGTGGACCACATTAGGCATTACCAGTACATTCAAAAACTGTACCTCATTTATGAATGTATCTTCCCTGATCCTGTAAATTTGGATTTCTTTACAGCTTAAGCTCATTTGCTATTTTGGATGCAATGTTCTTGAAGGCAATAGAAGTCCCAGATATTCGCTTGAAACGAACCCCATTTAGTGACAGACGTGGCAGTTTGCAGACTTCCATCTCCCACTGCACGAGGCTATCCTGTCTAGCATCTCCATGGACACAGAAAAGCAAAAACCTCTCTTTTTGTTCATAATCACAGTTATTTGCATCTAACACTTTTCGGATTTCTCTCATCATGTCATTAGGGTCCATTGAACTAGTGGTCTTCATACTCCATGTGAACCGCAAAGAACGCGGCTTGGAATCTTTACCCTCTTCCTTGTCTCTTTCTTTTGCTTCCCCTGATGTACTTCTAGAAGCAGAGGGCAAAGGGAAAGAATGAAAACAGAATTCCATTCAGCAAAGAAATCAATACACAGATAAAAATATGAGTGATCACAACTTAGTGCCTAATAAAGCTATTCAACTTGTAGGTAGATAGAAAGATTCATGTTATCTCGCTACTACTACAGCAGACCTGAGGACGTAATCTGTTTTGACTTTCAGCATCACTCATCTAACATAGCATATTTTCTTAAATACATTTGTTTTTGGGAGACAAATTTGCAGCTTAAAATGAAGAACTGTTTTTTTTCAGTTTCCTTCCATATTTCTCTGTTCAAGTTTGCAAAAATAGATTCTCTATCTTCTACACACACACACACACACACCAGGAACCGCTAGCAGGCACCATTCTGCTTGTAAACATATTTTTGAAATATAAAGAAAAATGTCCTCTTTTTCTGTCCTTTTTGAGTAGGAGGAATGTAATGACTATAGAGGAAAAGAGAATTATTTACACCTGGTAATGCTAAGAATGTTGTATTGTGTATTGTAATTATGTAAAGATGTCACATAGTATACTTCTTGAAATTTTCCAATGTTTTCCCATTTCACTAAAGACAACCTTCAAATCATCTACAAGGCTGATTTTATTTTCTTCTATTTCCTGAGGATTGAACCCAGGGGCATACTGCCACTGAGCTGCAGCCTTTTTATTTTTTATTTTGAGACAGGGTCCCACCAAGTGCCCGAGACTAGCCTCAAACTTGTAATCCTCCGTCCCAAGCCTCCTGAGTCACTGAGATTATAAGTGTGAGCCACTACACAGGGCCCACCCCCTTACCTCTTATTATCTCCACCTTGCTCACTTTCATCAGGCCATTTTGTCTCCATGCTATTCTTTGAACACACTGGGTATCTTCTTGTCTCCAGGTTTTTACACAGTTCCCCAGATGGCCGCATGGCTAATTCCCTTACGTTTTCCAAATCTTACTATACCCTGACTCTGGCACGACAAACCCCCCTATCCTACTCTATTTTCTCTACAATGCTTGTCACATTCAAATACACTATTTAACCCATTAATTAGGTTAACATACATTTAAATCTACCACTAGATTGTAAACTCCAAGAGGGCCAGGAATTTTGTCTATTTCATTCCCTGACATACCTCAGGCACCTAGAACTATGCTGGTATGCAATTAAGACATATTTGTTACATTAATCTACCTCACTGAATTTTGCTTATGGAGGTACCTCACAAATAACATAGAACCAGAAAAATCTATTTCAAATAACCATAGGGAAGTAAAACTAGTAGATTTTTCATTAATACCAGGTAATTTATCAGTTATCCAAATACAGATGTTCATTAATACTAGGTAATTAATTTATCAATTATCCAAATACAGACAAATGTTACAACTTTAACTTGTTAACCTATCTCACTAATCTGTGATTTAAGGAAAAAACTGCATACTCTGAAATAAGTTCATAATCTACTATATAAATATTTTCTATTTATATATTTATATCAATACTGATATATATGTATATATCCCCTTTATACAATTATTTATATACACATATACATTGTGCTTCTCATTTCTATATATTTGAGTCCCCAAATTTTGCTAACTATGCAAACTTGAGAAAATAAGGAAAAAGGTAGAGAAAATAAATAAATTTCCAAGTACTGTTAAATAGGCATGGAAAGTATTTATTTCACATCTCTACCTCCCTTTCTTTGCTTACTGAATCTAAGCCATTGCATCATAGCCTCTTTGGATTGGCAGAGCCAACCAGAGTCCTCTATTAGCATCACATGCCTAATTCCAGTGGTGGACTCACTGTACTAGAAATGGAAGGGGCCTGCCAGATCGCTTCATTGGGCACTCATTTTAAAAACACAACTGATGCCTAGAAAACATAATTTTCTAAGGTCATAGAACTACTGAGTTGGAAGCTGAAGAGTAAAAATTAGGTGTCTTATTCCCCCAGATGATGATATGGTGACCTTAGGAACAATAGACAGATACAAGATATTTTTCTGCTTGTGTCTTACAGGCATTATCACTGATAATATTAGTTGTTGAAAGCTCCTGATAGTGCCCAGAACAACAGCTAACATTTATTGAGGACTTCCTAGATGTAGGAGCTGTTCTATGTGTCTGCCATGTATTATTCACTAATTTATGCCTCAAAACAATCCTATGAGGCAGTCAGGATGAGGAGATGGAGGCATGAAGCACTAAAGTAACTTCTCCAAAGTCATACAAATAGGTCAGTTGTAGAACACAGCTCAAACCTTCACGGCCTAGCTCAAGAGCCTGTGCTTCTAGTTACGGTACCACACCATCTCTCTGAAATGAAGGAGCCTCATTAGGACTGAGGGAGTCCCGCCTATGACCTTGCTATTTCCTCATGTGTAAAAAGGGTATTTTTAACCTGGTTGTTGTGAGGATTAAATGACCAGCAAGCACCTTATAGGTAGTAGGTATTCAATTGAATATTTCTTCAAAAATAATAAAACAAAACCCAATAATAATAAAGAAAAGGAAATGTGAAAAGGGCTTTGTAAACAAACATTTATAAAAGATTAGTTGTTAAATTCTTATGTTAAATTAGCAGTCATACTAAAATGATAAAAGTGCATGTAGATTAATTACAATATTATTAGTAGCCACTTGTGACACCACACACTACTCAATGTCTTGATGAAAAACTTTACAGAAATGTGGTATGAGATGCGAGCAAGGGGCTGAAAACAAAAGTACTCCATGTTTATTTAATACGTAGAAAAAAGTTAAAAATATTGATTTTGCTCCCTACCATGGGGACTCAGGTACCTACCTCTACAAAGAAGCAGGTCAATGATTATTACTAAACATAAATACAGCACAGTTTGTAAAGAATACTGCATGGTAAACATTAAGTTTTTCTAAAGCTCATTATGTTTCATATTTCAAATGCTTTGAACAAAAGTCAAAATTAAATCAGAGGCCCATATTGAGCTGCTCAAAATTATTTCTAAATAAAGCCAGCTCTGAGAGTTATTCTGTATCCCATAATGTTTGTGTATTCTCAAAATAACTTAATGCCTTAATTTTTCAAAATTTTCACTTATTAAATATGAATATACAGACTAACTTATCTGTAATGTGATTCTCAGACCACCATCCACAAGGCCTGGAAATTTGAAAGGCAAATGCTCAAGATATCCCTTACCTTTCACTGAATCAGAAACCCTGGGCATAGGGCCAACACATTAAAAAAAAAACAAACAAAAAAACATCAAATCCTCCCTATAATTCTGACTGTGCTCAAATTTGAGAACCATTGCCAAAATGGACATCCAAGTAGTATTAAAGGTCAAAACCCCCATAAAGTATGGCAGGAGAGAGTTTTAAAATGTGGCCTAAAACTGAGCACTCACCTAAAATACACATTAATGTCAAATCTTCCTACATATTACCAATATACTGGTATTTGTGTGATTTGACTTAGGATAATTTAGTTACACCATAATAGAGAAAAAAAGCAGTTCCTTTTAACCTATTAATTTTTCTGCCATGAAATATCTGATAGGATAAAAGGCTATTTCTTCACCAAGTATACAATTCAAAATAATTTCTGGAAAACACAAAATTGATTTAACTTAATTAAATGCTAGGCAACATTAGGAAAACCCACCCCAATATAAAAATTTACAATATACATACTATCTATTTATTAGTTCTATTCATGATTATTAAATGCTGAAAGTATTTCGAATATCCGCTTCCATTCACAGGGACCTAGCAGCGAAGTATTAATAGTGGCTCCTCACCTTGAGGTGTCGGTTCTGCCACTGGCTTCGCCTTCACTTGGATCCCTCAAAACAAAGTGAAGGTTGAGATTTAATGATAAAATTGAGAAATATATCAGAAATCCTACATCTAAAATTATTTTAAAATTAACTTGTTGAGCAAACTTCTATCATAACAGTTTTCTATTATGAGGCAGTCTAATGCTGTTGCTCACGTTTTTCATTATAATTGCATGTTGCCATCATTTATTGAGCGTCTACTGGGTATTGTTCAAGAGGAGATACTAGGTGAAAGCTTAGGAGCTTAGGAGGTTTTTTTTGTTTTGTTTTGTTTTAACATGATCTTCCAATTCCGAGACATAATTTTAATCGTAATTTATCTTTTAGTTTAGCAAAATCTAAAGGTAAGACTATTTAATAATTACTAGTAGAAAGATTTAACTTCATATTTTTTATTACATACAATTCTAGTAGTCGCTCAATTGAGAAAAAGAATTAACTTTGCAGTTAGTAAACATATATTTCTAAAAATAAATACCAATTTTAAATAAGCAATCAACTTCACAAGTTATATTAACAATTCATGCACAGCAAGTCAATAGCCTATTGAAACAAGTGAGTCTAAAAACAGGGATTCAACCTTAAACAAAAACACTGATCTTACCTGAATATCCATTTGTGAAATAAAACCAGGAAAACACTACCAATTGTCCTTATGTAGAAGGTTATTAATATTTTTGAAGTCTCCCAAAATTTAGACCATTTTGTCATTTTCAAAAGTAATTCAATATCTACACAGGAGTATCAAGTTACAAACCAGTTCAAAAATATTAAGAGATGGCCTGTGATAGAGAGCAAAGTACTCTGAAGTAGCTGGGAAAGCTCATCAACTTGAACCTGTAAGTTAAGGTTGTCTTAATGTTTTAACCATTCCAGACACATTGACATTATTTATGAAAAGTGAAGCAACAGGAAATCAGTGCCACTCTCCCTTTCCCTAAATTAAAACCAGCTCTGCTTGAAATGGTTATTAGAAATATGAGTATCTCATACTTTGAAGGACCTTAAGGCTTTTCTCGACAAACACATTGCATAAAAAACATTTTTCTATCAGAACTGAAAAGAATAATAAACTGTATTCTCACATTAAAAAATTTCTTCTATTTCTATTTTAAATAACTAGTATTTTCATTGGAAAGTTTAATAAAAATCCAATACCCATGGGAAGAATGGAGGAATTTTGGATTGGGCAAAGGGGAGGGAGGGGAGAGGTCATGGGAGTAGGAAAGATGGTGGAATGAGATGGACTCATTACCCTAGGTACATTTATGATTGCACAAATGGTGCATCTCTACATAAGTATGACCAGAGAACCGAAATGTAGCACTCCATTTGTGCACGATGAATTCAAATGCAATTCTGTTGTCATGTGCAACTAAGTAGAACAAATAATAATAATAATAATAATAGAAAAAAATCCAATACCATTTCTACAAATCTATTTTCATTATAACTGAAATAAAAGAATTCTGGGCATGCTGAAAATGAAAAGTACATTTTCAGTTACATATAGATGTACTGATATACTACACAGAAGGGTAGTGCTCTAATTTGGCAAATATGTAATGCTGTTGATCTCTGAGGTGAAGATAAAATGACTTTACTAAAAGGGACACAGGTATCACTGGACTTTTCTGAATGTTTTGCATTTTAATTCACTCTTAAGACACCTACCCTACTGTGGCTAAACTTTAAGCATTAGGAATGGAATTTCCTTTAGACCCTACTTCCTCTGTTATCATGAGTCGAAGTAGCAATTGGCTCCTATCCTGTCCTGCCCACTTGCCAGTAGGAACACTGGAAGAACTTTTGCTACTTGGCAACTGTTTCACACAGCCCAGGGAGTCTGCTCTAAGTAGCCCTGGTGGGAGGCAGATAGTGATACAGAAGGTGTGGCTGGCTGTAAGATCACATGCAGCATAGTATGACTCTCCAACACCTAAAACTTAAAAAACAATTACCTTATACATGGCAACATATACACAACTGAACAGAACCCTGTATAAGAATGAGCTATGGTTAGAAAATCATAAAGTTTGGTGCAGAAAAAGCAAGCCATGTGGATACTGGGGGCAGAGGTTTCCAGGCAGAATGAATAGCAAGTACCAACTCCTGGATCAGGTATGCCTATGGTGCCCAAGGATAGACAGGGTCCTACATGGCAGGTGTGCAACTAGCAAGGGGAAGAATGAAAGAGGAGGTCTGAAATATGAAAAGAGCCAGCAAAGGAGCCTGGGAGGGAGAGTTAGTTTCTGAGGTAGAAGAAAATTAGAGCCAAGTGAGGAAAATGTTTCAACTGTGTAGAATGTTGCAGAAAGTAAGCTGCTTACAGGAAGGCAGGGACCATACTTGTCTCCTAAGTGCTGTACCAACTGCACCTAATAAAGTGCCTAGCACATGGTAGATTTTCAAATATGTGTTAAATAATGATATGGCAATCCTTTTTCTGAAACCCCCAACAGACCTTCTCCTAAGGCACTTTCTTGACATTCTGTCACCTGACTTCTTGTCCATAGTACTTTCCATTACATTTTATCCAGAATCTAAAATTTTTCTTGCAAGGTAAAGAGAAATGTTTTGAACAATGCTTAATAGCAATTAAGCATTAAACTCAAAAAACCTATTTTTTTTCTATACTTTAAAATCAATCCAGGTTTAACCATGAGAATGTTCTGGCTTCTAAAAATAGCTTAAGTAGTCAGTTATATTCCAAAAGCAGTTAACATTGTCCTCTAACTTTCCTGCTGACTCTGTCCTGAGCCTCGGTCTTTCTCTAGCAAAGTGTTATGCTGCATAGTAATTGCCCAAATAGCATAAAATAATTGACTGATATAGTCAGAAATTGTGATGCATTTGAGGACTTAAAGTTTTAAATTCAACTGTGTGATCCTGGGCAAGTGGATCTATGAGCTGAGTCAAATAAAATAGTCCACAACAAGGTAGGAGACTCAAGATGATTCTTCTCTTTCCCACACCCACTCTGAAATCCTAGGAACACTAATAACATTGAAAATTAATATCCTTTAAAGGAAGTATAATAATTTCATACCTATTATTTAACGAACAGTTGAATTAGCTATATTGAAGGAGCCCCTAGACAGAAACAATGGTGCCTTCCTCTGTACTCTTTTAGCACCCTGCACACACTTTTTCTATCCCACATTCTGCTTCATATCATGACTAGTTGTTTTCATGTCTGCTTCTTCCAAGACTTAAGTGTATGGAGAAAAAAAGATGTCATCACAATTATCTTTAAATCCTGCTCTGTACTTAGCACAGTGCTTTATACATAATGGGCCTAAGTAGGCATTTAGTGGTAATGGTAATGGTCAAATTTATATCAGCCCATATATGTTCAGCAACCTGTATAATTGGTGTGCATTGTACACATATGCTTTCTTTTTGAAAAAAAAGTTTAACTGTACTATTTTATTATGCATGCATTTATTTTGTGTTTAATATACTTTGATGTGATGTTAAGATTTTATGAGGTTAAATTACATAAGAAATTTGTGATTCCAGTATTTAGAATTTTTATAAAAAAATAGATAAACTACATATTATATATTAGTGAGCAACTGAAAAGTATTTTTAAGGGTTGGGGATGTGGCTCAGTGGTAAAGCACTTGCCTAACCTGTGTGAGGCCCTGAGTTCAATCCTCAGAATCACCAAAAAAAAAAAAAAAAAAAAGAGTTAAAAAAAAAGTATTTTTAAGATAAGAAATATTATTTGAAGGATACACATCAGCTCACAATTGATTCCTTTTTCTAAATTGAAGCCTTTTAAATAAGAAAGACTCTTATGTTAAAATGTACATTTTCAATCTCAAGTTTTTGATTTTTCTACCCTATTTGATAGAAGTTTTAAATCCTCATTTTGTCCATCTTTTCTTTTTCTTTCTTAAGGAAAAAGCCTTTATGTCTTCCTGAAGTTTTTCTTCCAACTTCTATAAAAGAGCAGCTCTAATGAAATGTCATAAAACCATTCTGGAAAAAAAAATCACTGAAAAGATCAATGAAAAAACCAAGTTTATTCATGATTCCTAGGGGAAACAAAACATGACAGTACATTGGTACTGACCTGCGAACGAATTTGGATGTGATTTTGCTTATTATACCAGTGGACGTTCCCCTTCTGGCATGTGCAAATGCACCCGTTTCATGGGATGGCGAAGCAGGTGGCCCATTATAAGCAGCACTGCGACGCTCCCGGAGCTGCTCCCCATGGAAAGTGCTTCGGCTTGAACTCCCTCGGGGAAAGCGGGTCCGGTCTGGAGTGGTGGCACTAATACTGTGAGCAGATGGGGAAGCAGCAGGCACTCTTTGGGTTGTACTGTTGGAACAAATTAAGATGTATTATTCAGAATAATGACAGGGAATGCTTTTACTCAGCTAAAAACTGAAAAAATAAAAATGGCTATGGCTACTTCTTTTTGCTCAATTTTATGTATTCACTGTTGAGATGTGATAAATGAGTTAACTGTATTTACTATGGCTTTGCAGAGTGAAATCAACACATTTATAAAATTAAAATTACTGAAACACAAAGACAAATGCCTTTTTGTAACAGGAATGCCCAACCAGGGTTCTGCATTTACATATGTATGTATGTATGTATGTATATGTATATGTGTGTGTGTGTGTGTGTGTGTGTGTGTATATATATATATATATATATATATATATTTTAAACTTTGTGATCTAAAAATCTGAAATCCAATATCCAAAACTCTTCTGGTCCCAAGAATTTCAGATAAGGAATACTCAGTTTGTACTCTTAATCTACTTGGAAATGTAGACCATGAATTTTATTGTTTATTAAAAAGCCTTTGAACAAAATCATTTCCTATTTCTAATGTAGGTGTAAGTGATAGCATAATGCTATATGGCACTATCAGCATGACTAACAAAACCTAATTACCAAAGGGTTAAAATATTCAGGTGTTCTGAATTTGAGAAATTCTAAAACAGATAAAAACTAGAAAAACAGACATCTAATTTTAATTTTAGTTTATACCTGACAGTTCTCTGAGTTCATTTGTTTCATTAATACAAGAGTAAGTAAGGGCTGGGGTTGTGGCTCAGTGGTAGAGTGCTTGCTAGCATGTATGAGGCACTGGGTTCAATTCTCAGCACCACATTAAGTAAATAAAAAAAAAAATAAAGATATTGTGTCCAACTACAACTTAAAAAAAAAAAGAGCAAGTAACTGGTAGGAGCCAGTTACTCTTTATCTAATTGTTTTTTTTTTTGGGGGGGGCAGCGGGGAAATGGGGGGCAGTGTTAAAATAGCAAAAAACTCAATTTACTTAAATGATAAATTAGGCGGCATTATTTTACTTCATGGATGGGTTTAAAATAAAGTACTTTTAAGAAAATTCCTCTAGAAAACGATTTAAATTATATAGCAACATTTCTGATAATAGCTAAAGTACATAAGCATGTTACAATTAGACTTTTCCTCCACCATAGTGAGTCTTTCCAGAAAACTGTCCTGTGATGGTGACTATTATATATTTTCAAATGGCTCTATATTTTGTAAAACAACAAAGAAGATAAAATGTGATCAAGATATTACCCAGGCCGGTAAGCTTCAGAGCCATCTTTAATGGTTGGCAGTGTGACTTTAATAGGATGACCAGAAGTGGACATAGACTTCTGGTGGCGGGGTCGGGCTGAGGCAACAGCAGAGGCCACAGCAGAGCCAGTGGAAGATATGCTACTTGCAGACATCTCTGTAAGGCTTTCAACATGAAATGGTTGAGAAGACCATGGAAATGGAGAAAAAGAAAAAGTGCACTTTATTAAAATTTAAAAATAGGTTTTGAAAAGTCTAAATTGACTAACATTTTTCATGACTGAAACACTTGAAAGAAACTAACATTAGTGGTGTTACTAGTAACTAATGGAACAATATTCTTGTTAAAAGTATATAGGGGGAATTTATCTTTCACTGAAAAGATTTCACACACTCTTACTCTATATGTGAACCTGAGAAGGTATGAAATGATTTTTGTATATTTGTGACACTTTTTAGATAAAATGATTATGATTAAAGGTGTTTTTCACTTCTTCCAAATTACAACTTTGTGTGATGTGTTGCTGTGGGGTGCACTATACTAAATTATTCATAAAAGAAGGCTTAATTATACCAAAACCATTATCACTGGAAATATCATCAAAATACTTTTAGCTCATATCATGAATCAACAGGTTAACTGTGTAGACTTAGGGCCTGTACATTAGTATTTAGTATAGGAAAAAAAATAAATCATTAATCTATTTCCAACTGTCTATCCTAAAGCATCTTATGTCCAAGGAAGATACATTTCTTTTCATGTCTTACATTAACACTTACTTCACATGCCTATTCATTGAGAAGAAACAAATGTGAGAATTTTTTCTGTCCACTCCACTGAAATGACTAGAGGTAGAACTAAAAACAGAATTTAGTTTAAGTAGCAAAAGATTCCATACCTTTTTGAGCTATTTTAATAAGTAATCTTCCTACTCATGATAAATGAAGTTAATTTCTTAAAATAATAAAAATACAATTCATCATATTTTACATAAAACACTAAGAATTTCATGGTTTTGGCTAATCAGTTGGGATGGCCACATTTTCTTTAGAGGAAGTAAAGTAAAGTAAACCCTTATTTTTTGGATAATAATGATGGCTTGGTGGGAAGGAGAAAGGGAAGGAAGGAAGAAGGAAGCAGTAGCTGCCCAAGAGAATAAGATTCAAATTATGAGGAACAGATTAGGCCCAGATGATCTGCTTTGTTACAGGGAAATATCTACTATCATATATTATCTGGAAATTCATATGTTTTGACATTTATCTCCTGCTTTCCCTAAATATTTTCCTGTTATAAAAGGGAGATGTCTTAGTAAGAATGCTTGGTTACAATCTTACTATTTTGTATTCCTTTCCTGTTGTGTTTATTTATGGGTACTTCAGCAAAAACACTATGAAAACAGTGACAAAAATATTACTACTTGGCATTATGACACTTACCTGCTGTCCTTTCCATTCTGCAATGCTGTGTATCGATCTGTGGTCCTCTCACAGACATATGTATTCCTTCTTGCCATGCTACCTCCAGAATACACATTGTTCTTTAAGAAGGAATAAAAATGATTTTAAAATTATAACTGTATTTGTGGAAAGTCAAAGAAATGTATTTAATCTTCTAAGGATTCGAAAAAATTCATATTAGAGTCGTAACTCCTTAGAATTTTATATTAACATGCTCTATCTCCTCTCCCTCTCTTCTTCTCTCTCATATTTGGATTTTTGGAGAGAAGGCAAAGCGCGAAAAGCAAATTTATCACAATTGCAATCCTACAGCAGCAGTGAGCAGTCATTTGGAAGCAACAAAAGGCTGGGTTTTCATTCACTCCCTCTTTTGTGAGCTGGTATTGAGGAGAGGGCAGAGTATTGGTACAGGAAGCTCCAAGTAACTAGGAGTGCTATCTCCCCACTAAATCTCAAGGAACCTGTGTAGTAAAGATGGCATGCCTTCCATGCCTTCACTTGCAGCCTCATCTACCCCCAGCCAATGGTACCAGCAAGGAGAATAAAGCTCCAGATTAAAGGCATTCTTCACAGAGGCTGCCATCAGAGAGGGTCAGTGCCATACTTTGAGGATATTTCCTTTGGTCTCAGGTTTTGGCCAGGAGGCAGGCCAAGCCAAAGGAAGAAAAAAGAAAAAAAAAAGCAAAAAGAGATAGACAGATGGATAATTCTCCACACATAAAGCCCTTGCCCTATAACCCCATTGCCATGCCTGCCAAAACCTTGACTATTAGTTACCAGTAGTAAAATATACAAAAATGATTTTCAAAAGGGATAAAAGTCTTGTTTTACTCTCACTCCAACAGAAAAAGTCTTCCCTATTTTTAGATAATCTACCTTTCACTATTCTTTAAAATACACAATTAACATAAAATTTGTTTAATAATGGGGGCTAGAAAGTCCATAGACAACTGCTTGAATTCAGTTGGGAGAAGGACAAGAATTTGTGTAAGTGCAGATTTAAACCTTTTCAATAGTGCAGGTTCCTAGGCAGAATAAGTTTTGTCATGCTATATAAAAAGTATAAATTAAAAACTATAAAAGTATGTTAGCAAAGGAGGCTAAGATTACTTAAAAATTTTTTTAGACTTGGTCTATGTTAACCAAAAGAAAAGAAACAGAGAGATCCATTATGAAATTAATTTGCATTACAGCTCTTAAAAAAACTAGAAATACAATCTGCATTTCATATTTTGAAACATGTCATTTCATTACTGCATTCTCATTTAACAGGTCATTAATTTCTACCTATGTTAAGTAATAAAAAGTTTTACGGCTTCAGAGTATGCAGCTTTGTAGATGAACCATATTTTATTTTGACCAATAGATTTCTAGGTTTTGAGCTTTTAAATTATTTATTTACTTACTTTTTTAAAGAGAGAGAGAGAGAGAATTTTTTAATATTTATTTTTTAGTTTTTCAGTGGACACAACGTCTTTGTTTGTATGTGGTGCTGAAGATCGAACCTGGGCCGCAAGCATGCCAGGCGAGTGCACTACCGCTTGAGCCAAATCCCCAGCCCTTTTAAATTATTTTCTACTTTGCTTCTACAAGCCATTGAGGAGGTTAAATTGTAGAGTTCCCTGAAAACTTAAAATCTAGAGGAAAAACCCTAGAAATAATAATGAAAACAGAGGACAATTATGAAAAATTATTAAAACTGCACATAGGTTACTAACAGGCTACATCAGTCACACCATGGGCACCAAAAGTACCAAAGTAAGAATATTAGCTTTTAACATTTTTATTATTTTGGCAACTCATTATGAGTTATCTGAGTTTGAATAAACATCAAATTGTGTGGCCATCCATCCTTTGGAAGTCTCTGAGATGTTTCTGACTGTTCTCAATGATGTGTCTTTCCTTCTCATTGTGTGATAGTGAATGGCATTTCCTTCCAAGTAGTGCTAATGAGTCCTGCTCTTCTGTTATCTCCCTTGCCTTGAGCCTCTGGTGCCAGTGATGCCCAAGTGTGGCAGCCAATCTGCCCAAGCTGCATTTCACAGGGGAACTTAGGGTATAATTAGCAAAAGTTATAGAAAAAGTCTCACTGTGGGCTAGGGTTGTGGCTCAGTGGTAGAGCGCTTGCCTAGCATGTGTGAGGCACTGGGTTCGATTCTCAGCACCACATATCTATAAATAAAATAAAAACCCATCAACAACTAAAAAAAATATTTAAAAACAAAGGGAAGAAAAAGTCTCACTGATTCCATCTGACATAGGTTCCATATAAAATTGACTTTTTTACAGGTTGACCTTCCTATTTCAAATAACAAAGCTCTATCTAGTGACTGCTAAGCAGGAAAGACTTTTCTGTTGATAATTTGGGGCACATGGAAACTATCCTTCCTTGAACTCCAATTTGGTAACTTCTCCAAGGCAGAAACCAATCATGTAAAAGACTTCTTTGGGTTTATTTTGTAGTAAGTAAAGAGATTATATTTTACATAATTGTCATAACTTTTATATACAATATATTATAATCACTATTGCAGTCTCAATTATTCTGAGTCTCCCAGAAAGAAGTAATTTCTTTCTTCATTTTTCAAAATTATTTTTTACTGAGAGTTCATATCTTAGTCTTTTGGGGCAGCTAAAGACTGGCAGTTTTTAAACACCTGTAATCCCAACGGTGCTGCTCAGGAGAATGAGAGAGAAGGAACTTGAGTTCAAAGCCAGCCTCAGCAGAAGTGAGGTGCTAAGCAACTCAGTGAGACCCTGTCTCTAAATAAAATACAAAATAGGGCAGGGAATGTGGCTCAGAAGTTGAGTGTCCCTGAGTTCAATCCCCTGTACCCACTCCCAAAAATCCCCCTTATTATCTAAATGCTCCCTCCAGTCTTAAGTGTTCTTTTATACTTTCTCTTTATTCTTCCCTGTTGCCTTACAAGGGGGCATATCAGTCTGTCTTCTAGTTATCATTGTATAATTTCTATATTATGCAGTTTCACTAGTGAGTAACATGAGGCAACTTTATAAATCATTAACTGAATCTGCTTCAATTGAACAGTTTATTTGTAAATATAAGATTAAATGCACCAATGTAACATTAAGACAATATTACAAACAGGAAAAACAAAGCAGGAAGGTTTATGTACCATTTTGTGCTAAGGCTGTTACATGAAGAATTCTTTTGATTATTCTATCTATATCCATCCATCCATCTATCTATCTATCTATTGGTACTGGAAATTGAACCCAGAGGTGCTTTACCATTGAGCCACATTTTCAGTCCTTTTTATTTTGAGGCAGGGTCTTATTACGTTGCTTAAGACCTCGCCAAATTGCTGAGATTTGGCCTTGAACTTACCATCCTCCTACCTCAGCCTCCCAAGTTGCTTGGATTACTGTTGCTTGCCACTGCGTCCAGCTAGTTGTTTTCTTAATTTGTATTTATGAGAAGCATGGCTCCCTTTCCACAGTTTTCAAATTATGATTCATTTTGAAACATTTCAAAACACAAAAGATAAACATTTTACAAAAAACTGATAATAAATACATTCAACAAATTGCAATATAACAGGATATTTACTCACGCTTGGAATAGTTGAAGATTTTTTCCTCTCTGGACCCACAAGTGGGCTTGCAGTCATCTCGCTTTTTGATCCAACTGTGGTGCTGCCAAGTTTACGAGCCACATCTTTGTCCCACTCCTCTTTCTGTTCACTTTCTACACTGTTAGCCTGAGGCCTTTTAGTGTATGATACGGCAGGGGGAATGGATGGACCAGCTGTAATAAACACAAAACAAAACAAAACAGCATAATTAGATAAAAAGACAACTGGCATATTTTCTCACAAACAAGAACTCTACAATAAAAATATCTGTGGTTTATACTCTGTACAGAGATTAGACTATTCAATTAAAGAATTTGATCAGTTCCTGCAAAAGGGTTCCTGATTATCATTCGATAATGTAAATCTGTGAGAACTACATGATACAATCCATGGAGATGTGACTATATAATACTTAAAATACATGAGTGTGGGTAAGACCAGCTCATGTTTTCACTTATTTTACTTGTTCCCCCACCATGATCACTAAAACGCCGCTGCTTCTGATTTGCTGAGATGCTTCGCTGGACCTTCAGGTGAGCAGGGGACTGAAGAGTGCTGTTGTTTAGGTCACTACTGGGCCGGGACCTCTGACACAAGTTTCCACTGGATAGCGATTCACTGCCTTCGAACTACAAGAAGAAAGACCACCAGACTTTTAAAACAGGAAAATGTTTAGACAAACAAAATGCACTCTTGATTTTCTAAATGATTCAAAGCTATATAAGGGGTAATCAGAAAAGGAAGGTAGCTCAAGATATAGAATCTTGAGTTGGAGGGAAGTGGATATAATTTGCTCCCATGAGTACCTGTATCCTTAGTTTAGTCAAAATATCAAATAATATGGTAATTATATACTAGACACTGTCCTAGCTTTTTACTTATACCTGTCACTTAATCATTACAACAAACCTATAATGTATTACCCTAAACTTTCTAGATGGAAAAAGTGAAGTTAAGAGTCAAGGGATAAAATCTAAAACTTTAAACACATATGCACCTATATAAGTAAATACATGTACATATATACATATATATATGCATACACATATACAAAGACTGTATTAAAATATCTACATTTGTTTTACATTTTGAACAAAGATTAAATTACTTTTTTTTTTGTTTTCTCCTCACTTACAAAACAAAATTTGATTTATTGGCTCTGAACAGGAAATTACTTCTACTTAGAACTAAGCTTGGGGGTTGATACACTACTTCTCTCTCTATAACACAGAGATCTGATGCCAACAAATTTTTGGCTGAATGTTTAAGACATGAGTTTTCCCCCAAAGCTCATGCATAAGTCAATGCAAGAAAGTTTAGAGGTGAAATGATTGGGTTATAAGAGTTGTAACCTAACCAGAGCATTAATCCCCTGATAGGCGTTAACTGGGTGGTAACTATAGGCAGGTAGGGTGTGGCTAGAGGAGATGGGGTATGTCTTTGGGATTTATATTTTGTCCTTGGTGAGAGAAGTCTCTTTCTGCTTCCTGGTGCAATGTCCTGAGATGTCTTCCTCTGACATGCCCTTCTGCCATGATGTTCTGCCTCACCTCCATCCCAGAGCAATGAAGCTAGCTTTATACGAACTAACACCTCTGAAACTGTGTGAGCACCAAATAAACATTTTCTCCTCCAAAATTGTTCTTGTCAGGTCTTTTGGTCACAGCAGTAAAAGAGCTGGCTAAAACACTGCATCACTGAGATTCCAATGTGAAATTTAAATTCATTTGTAGATGAAACTAATAACAAATGGCAGATTAATGTTGGTGGTAATCATGACAAATATTAGCTAAAATGGAGCACACAGTAATCTGCCAGCAACTATTCTAAGTGTTAATTTTTTATATTCTCACAATGACCCCAAGAGGTAAGTACTATTCTTATTTTCACTTTGTAGATAAGGAAACTGAGGCATAGAAAATTAAATTGTCTACATGACAGAGTTGCTGTGTGGGTAGGGAAGGTAAACCTGGCTCTTAAGTTCAGGCTTACTCTCACAGTAGCTTCATTAGTTTATATTCAATACAATTCATACTTCATTTTAACTCACAGGCGGGGTGGACTGTATACTTATAAAATTTATGCTTCCTTTGTATTTAAATTAATAAGAAAATCAAAAGATCTCAGGACTGAAATTTAAAAATCTAAGTAGAAACAGTTAAAAGACTTCAGAAAAAAAAATCTTTTGTGCTATTCCCACTTAAAATTCTCTTGACCTGGCTTCTTAGACACCACTTCCTAGCTATCAGTATCCCCACTGAAGATTCTTCTCCTCCAGTATAGCACCTTCTTGGGGCGTTCATTGAGAGAATTAGATGAATTAATACTTGTTAAATCCTTTAGAACAGTTCCTGACACACTAGTGCATGCAACATGTGTTCCTCAGATGATGACTCCAAAATCTGTTAATTCTACTTGAATCTTTTCCTGCAGATCCAGATCTTTACATATGAATATCTATTATACTGCTCCAAGAGAAATCTCCAATTCAACCATCCCAGACTTCCCATCTTTCCCCTAGAATCCAGAGCTTTCCTATCTTGGCAAATGCACCTTATACAACCAGTCATCCATACTGAGGAAATAAGAAATATGAGGGACTCTTATTCTTTATTCCAACTGGTTGCCAAGTACTATTATTCTTACATCCTCCATCTCAGTAGAATACCTTGACAGACCTCACCTATCCTGTTGTAGGTGCCTATCCTCCTATAGCTCCCAGAGCATTCCCAACACCTACCACACTGTATCATATTGTTGAGTACTTATCTCTGCACTGTGGGCTCTTTGAGAGGAGAAACTTTCTTGTTTTCATATTTATACTATTGAGCATAGTTCCTGGTACAGGAAAGATTCAATAAATATTAGCTGGAATGTGCTTCACTCATAGTTACTATTTAAGTACAACTAATTTCTGCCTTTTCTTTCTTTTTTTTTTTTGAGAGAATTTTTTAAAAATATTTATTTATTTATTTTTTAAGTTTTTGGTGGACACATTTTTTTTTTTTTTTTTTTGGGGGGGGGGGGAGACCCCCCCCCCCCCCCCCCCCCCCCCCCCCGCATGCCAGGCGAGCGCGCTACCGCTTGAGCCACATCCCCAGCCCAATTTCTGCCTTTTCTATAAAATACCTTCCCCATAGATGTCTAATTTTTAACAAACTATTAATTCTCTTGGCCTCTGTTCCTACTCTTAATTTACGCCCTTTATAACTGTTTTCCAAAAGGATAATTTCCTTTTATGATTCACCATTTATTTACAGTTATTTCCTGAATCTGTCTCCTTATTATGGATCTCTTCTGGCCTTGGGGATGCATTAAAGCCACTTGATATGCTATGAGACAAAATATCATGAAACAACCCTTCCCTGGGTTTCCACTTACACAAATCATTTCATTCATACATTTAGTTTGAAATACTGCCACTTTCTTTTGTTTCAGTCACTGTCTCATCTGTACACCCAGAATTATCATAGTGGCTTTGATGGGGCTGTTACACTTGGATGCAGAAGCTGTGCACTGTACAACTCTGGGGGACATCATTCTAAGACCAGACAGTGAGTGGTGCTTCTTGAAGCCACACAGGGCAGTGGGCCTACTCTTGCATAAAATCCCTCTTGTTACCCAGAAATGAAATTAGTTCATAATTTAGCACTTTGATTTTTGAATTCTAATAAGAATATTAGAATTTTGCATTATTTTTATATCATAAAAATCATTTACAAACATTATATCTTACACTTAGCTGTTATTTAATTAAACAAATAATTCACATTAATTTAAAAAGAAGGAAGACTTACTTCAGGTGGTTTTCTACCTAGAAGAATATAAGTAGCCATAACTTCATCGTATTTCTGACTTATTAAGGCATCATTTATTTCATCTCGTGCAAAACCCATGGTGACCATAATGTCTAGGAAAAGAAAGTGTAAATTTTCTGAATATGGGTTCATTTTATTAAAAAACAGCAAAAATTGGCAAGTTTTCCAAGAGACTAGATATGAAAATTAAGTCTTAAAAAATTTAAAGTATAGTTTTAATTTTACAAATTTTTGGATTATTAACCTACAGATACTGTGTTCACAGGCACACATTCATAATTTTTCCTGCAGAATTACCTACATTGTACATTATATACTCATGAGCCAACTCAGTTTCTCATTGCCTACTACATTCCTGAGCTGACTTCCTTTGTCTAGTCAGACTATTAGTCTGTGTCACTCCATACAAAATCCCTCTTCTTTGGCTCTTTCTATCTGTCTCTCTCAATGCATCCCCAGCTACTCATGGAATGATCTCTCTCATCTCTTAACAATTTCTGCTTTGGAGAACAAATTCTTCTGTGGAGGGCTTGAATTCCATGATGGTTCTGATTAGGATCTTAGTGCTCTCCCCTGCCACTTTGCCTTTCAGTCAGATAAAAGCCTAGTTGAGACGACTCCTGTGAGTTTCTGATGGCTTTGGATAGGGATAGAGAAACAAAGGAAGCGATTTTGGAAGCAGAGTGATGGTTGAGTGTGGGCAGACAGCAGGACCAGGGCAGAGGGCCAGTGGACTCTGCTAAGAAAGTGGAAAACAAAAGGTGAGCTGAAGAGTTCATTCCCTTTATTTGAGTGCTTTTAGAGTTTTGGTAAAAGTACATGCTGTGTTTGCTGATACTTATCAGTCTGAACAGTGCTGATAGTTGCATCAGTCAGCCCTCCTGTGAGAGACTGACAAAGGAAAAAAGTAGGTTTATCTACATGATTTTAACTTTTATGTTAAAGTTGACAACAATTAACTCAGACCATAATATATATGAGAACAAACTAAGGAGCTTGCAATTTTTTATGTATAGTGTTTATCATTAAGATGATAAATATTTTTCTAATAAAAGTTGCTTCCTAGTTTTAAACTCTATTTTATAGACTAAAGACTCTTATTATGGCTTACTATATCACATCTTACAATATTTAAATACTTACCTATTCTTTTCGTATCATTGAAGTCTGGTTCAGGCTCAGTGTATGGCTTTAATTCTTCTTCTTCATGACCAACATTCATCCATCGATCTTTCATTATTTGCTAGGAAATAAACTCTATGTTAAGTTTGGTCACTTGAAACATTCAATGAGTTATTTTAGCAAATGTGAAATTTACTGGTTTACTCAACAAGAATCATGTAACATTTTCAAATAAAGTTATTGCGTATAGTTTGATTACCAGTTCAATAAGAGGTATGGAACTTTGGAACCCACATACAGTATCTTAAGACAACTGTGACTGTCATCCCACATACTTACCAAATGTAATGATTCAAAATAACTTTTCTTCCATATTCATTTAAAAAGAATATTTTCAAATTTGAAGGAGAACCTCCCAACTTTAATCTTTTCTTCATATTTATAATTTAAAGATTACTGAAAAGATTTTAATTTTTGTCTGGTCTTCTACCAAATATATACCTGTGTTTAAAAATCAGCACTTATTAAGATATTAAGAAAGGAGAGGGTTAGTTAGTAAAGATAACTCCAAGAGAATATGGAAAGAATTTGAATCTAGAGTTATAAATTAGGTGAAAATCAGGGTGAAGACAGGTATTGATGCAAACTACCACAGGTAGATTTAAGCTGAGGCTGTAGAACAACCATCAGTCCTGGCTGTTAAGACAACCTAATGGGGGCAACCTGTGGAATGGGAACAAACATTTGCAAACCATTTGTTGGTTAAGTGGTTAATATCCAAAAGAACTCCTACAACTCAATAAGGTAAAAATAAATAATTTAAGAAAGATCAAAGAAATTGCATAGACATTTCTCCAAAGAAGACATACAAATGGCCAACAATAAGAAAATGCTTACATGAAATACTAATAATCAGGGAAAATCAAAACCACAATGAAATATCTGAAATCCTTTAGGCTGCCCACTATAAAAAAAACCTCAGTATATTAATTGTTGGCAAATATCTGAGGAAACTGGAACCCTTGAACAATGCTGATGGGATTATAAAATGGGACTACATCTATGTAAAATAGTATTAAGTTTCCTCAGGACATGAATAGAACTACCACATGATCCAGTAATCCCATTTCTTGGATATTTATCCAAAAGAACTAAAACAGAGTATCCAAGAAATATTTTCACATCTGTGTTCACTGTAGCATTATTCACAAAACCAAGAAGTGGTAGCAACCTAAATGACCACTGACAGATGAATGGATACAGAAAATGTGCTGTATATATGCAATGGAATATTATTCAGCCTTATAAAAGAAATTCTGTCACATCCTACAACTTGGATGAACCTTGGAAACATTAAGTAAAATGCTTGACAACCACAGAAAGATAAATACTGCATGATTCCACTTAGATGAGACATCTAGAAGAGTCAAACTCCCAGAAGCAGAAAGCAGAATGGTGGTTACTAGAGACTGAAGGAGAAGAACATGCTAGAGCTAGCTGTTCAATGGGTTTAGAGTTTTAGCCACAGGATGGAAAAGTTCTGGAGATCTTGTACAAGAGTGATAGTTAACCAAATTATAATTATAAAAAGAAATGGTTAAGAAGGCATGTTAAGCCAGGCATAATGGTGCACGCCTGTAATCCCAGCTGCTTGGGAGGCTGAGGCAGGAGGATTGTGAGTTCAAAGACAGCCTCAGCAAAAAAGTGAGGCACTAAGCAATTCAGTCAGACTCCGTCTCTAAATAAAATACTAAATAGGGCTGGGGATGTGGCTCAGAGGCCGAACGCCCCTGAGTTCAATCCCTGGTACCAAAAAAGGAAAAAAGGCATGTTTATGCTATTTTTTAAAAAATGTTGTCCTTTTATTCATTTTTAAAATTTATTTCGTGGTGATGGGACTGAATCCAGGGCCTTCCACCCACTAAGCAAGTGCTGTACCACTAACCTACATCCCTAGGACTACCCCCCAAAAGAAAAACCTAGTAGATAAATTACCACATTCACAGCCAAGCAATAGGAAACTGGGAGCTAGAGATCCATGATAAAATCATTATGCAGAGGATGGAAAACCTCACCTTCAGCATTTAAAGACAAATAAATCTGAATAATTCTGTATTAATTTTTAAAATGGTTAACTTTTTATTATTACAGAATTCTATGCTTTCATTGTAGGTGTTGTATATTAGTTTTTTTTTTTCAAGCCCTGTAAAATATATTCTCCAACTCTATACTTTATTTGCCAAGAGTCTACTAATTAGAAAAATAACTTTCTCTTTTTATGGCTGACTCCTTGAGTGCCTAGATATTTCCCCTTGTTTATATTAATATTTACCCAAAGTCAAGTACCAGAAGACAAAAACAAGCAGATTTTTTTACAACCACTCTGACCAATGGTTATAAAAAAATTGGTTATAAAAATAATTTAAGTATATCATCCAATAAATTAAATAAAAGCAAACCTACTACAAATTTTAAAATAATAGTGATATTATGTAAGGTTTTTTTTTAAATTTTATTTTAGTTCTAAGGAGTAAACCCAGGGGCACTTAACCACTGAGCCATATCCCCAGCCCTTTTTATTATTTTTTGTTTTAAGACAGGGCTTCACTAAGCTCCTGAGGCTAGCTTTGAACTTGTGATCCTCCTGCCTCAGCCTCCTGAGTTGCTGGGATGGCAGGAGTGCACTAGCACACCTGGCCCATGTAAGCTTTTAGTGATTATTCATCAGTAAAATTGTTAGGGAGGTTGCATTCCAAAAGAAAAAATAAGGACAAAGCAGAGCTGCAAATTTCTTCCACATAATTCCTTCCTTTCTGTTCCTCATTCCTTCCCTCTCTAACAGTATATGTGACAGAAGCCTAGGCTAGAGTCATTAGTAGCATTTATAGAAATAAAATATTATAGTCTGCAGAATTTCCTAAATTAGAAGGTGAAGACATGTCTTTCCTTTATCTATGGTTTTGCTTTCCATGGCCTTATACTATCTTTTTTGGCACAAATGTTTGTTGTTTTTGAAGAAGGTAGTTCAAATAAAATGAGGATGCTAAAGAGCCATGGGTAAGATAGAATGCAGAGATTCTAGCAGCTAGATGACACTTTAGGAAGCTGTGAAAATGTTCGGGAGGGAGACAACAGAGGGCTCATCTGGATGTATGGAGATGGAAGAAAGAAAACAGATTCATCTCGAGACCTTAATGACAAAATTTGTTTGGGTATTAATGAAAAGGGCCAATCCAAGAGAGCTCTGAAGAGTTTAACTCAAGGGCCTGCAAATTAGGGTTTCTATGAATTAAATAAGATCTATATAGGAGACAGCAGATCTGACAGTTGGAATACAGGCAACTTAAAGCAAAATGAAGATAATTCAAATGTTCTGATATCTTTATCTGTTTACTTGATACTCATCATACTCATATGTCCATGTTAGGAAAAAAATACACATACCTGGACCAATGTTGAAAGTGTGTATGTGTGTGTGTATACTGGTAAGTGCTATTTCTCTTACTCAGGAAATAAGATTTATTCATGAAATCTAAAAATATTTTAATACACAATATTCATCTATTTAAAGTTGTGCTATTAACAGCAAGTTCTTACAAAAGACCAAAATGTGCTGGAGTTTTCTGAGAAGGAATCATAAAGATGTAGGAAGTGAACTCACTCAAGATATAAGCAGTATTTGAACTGGTAGAAAGTTAAGGCAGAAAGATGTGAACAGTAGTGAGGAAACTTCCCTCTGACTTGGAACAAAGATAATATGCAATGAAAGAGTAGAAGGTACAGTTAGTATCTTCTGATGATCAGCTGAAAGTTGATTTGAAAGGCCAATGAAGAAATGTTACATTTTATTAACAAAGAAGATAAACCACATTTTAGAAAACATACAAGAAAAAGAGTAATAGGCAGTGACACAGAAGAAGCAGTGACCGGACCACCCTCACATGAAAGAGATATGAGGCAACACTGAACCAGGAAAAGGAGAAACTCAGTGATTAGGAAAGACAACTGGGCAGCCATGACAGAATCAGCAAAGTTTAGGTCTCCTTCCTGTTACTCTAGAGTCTACTTAGCAGTGTGTCTCACCACAGTTGTACTTCAAAGCAGAATAAAAATAAACTGAGGATGGAAGGTAAAGACAAGAAGAAGATATGCCTAAAGAAGGGACTCTATTAATTTTTAAGCGGAGGATCTTTTCTAAGAATAAGGCACAAAAAGAAATAAAATAGGGATATATGAAAGAAAAGAGAGACAAAGAAGTACCTGTCCTTAGTTGCATGAAACTCAGTCCTATACAAAATCCTTTTATGGCAAACACAAGAATTAATGTTAAAAGCTGAGGAAGAAATGTCTCCAGGATCTGGAGGTACTGTGTGACAGAGAAGCCATGAAACCCTAATCTGGGTGGATTTAGGCAAGGTAAAAAAGAACTAGGCCAACAAAGTGCACTAGACATAGGAACCAGTTGGATAAATTAATCCACTTCAGATTTCATTTCAGATACCTCATGAGAAATAAAGAGGACAAACACAATTGCAAACTTAACAAAAGAAAGCTTACTCTCCCATCACTGCCAATGAACAGATATGGCTACTTGCTGACTGTGTAAGAGTAAATACTAAGAAAATAATTGCTTCAGATGAATTATAAAGAATTAGAATAATTAACTATGGGAAATATACTCTCTATTCTTGGTGAACATTTAAAAATAGTACAATTTAGGGTGGTCAGTATAATAATTTTACTTAAATTATTAAAATCTTTGTATTTGTACTTAGATAGCTTTCTTTTTTCTAAAAAAAGAATAATTATTCTTTTTGCTTTACTGTCACTTGTACTGCATGGACATAAACAAGATTATTTTAGCAGCTCCTGAAGAAAGTGTTGAAAGTCAAAATATATACTTCTCGAGGGAAGGCCAAAGATGACACAAAGAAAGCATTAAGAGGAATGTTACTTGAGGATCACATTTTGTATTATTTGAAAAGTAGTAAAGTCTATTGTGGTTAAGAATTGTAAAAATGAGAGCTGGGGAGTGCTGGAGTTCCTTCCTAGGATGCCAAAGCATCCTAGCACTGCTGCTACAACAAAATCCACGGCACTGCTACTACAACAAAAACTAGAAAAATGAATAAACACAAACATAGAGAAGGGAAAGGAGAAAAGCTTTTTTGTTTCCTTCTAATAGATAAATCTAGACACATTAATATCCAGTAAACCAAAGATGGGGAGATCCCACTACACAATATAAAACACAAATCCTTTTAAAATCATGTGTGATACAGTTTCCTACCAATATTAGGGCAAATAGGAAGAGTTAACAGCATTTACACATGCCACCTAAAAAGCTCTACAACTGTTTAGGTCTAGAAACAACTATTGGTCAAACAAGTAGAATGTGAAACTAATTTCATAATTTTCATAGAGTATAAATATAGTATTTAACTTACAAATCCTTAAGAAACATTTTAATAATATGTGGTTATATCTGGTAAAGAAAAGAAAGAAATGCAAGCTAAATAAGAAGTTTAGTAAAACTAATAAACAAGATTCCCTAAATTAAATTTCAGTGTTAGCAAAGCACATAAGAAAGACTAGAAGTTACTCTAAAATCAATGATTCATGATAGTTGTGTGACACTGAAAAGAAACAAATGAAATTCCATTTTTTAAAATATGAGAATTAGCAAGGGCAATATTTCATCTTAAAAGCTACAAGGCTGGTACAAATCTATAAGGCAATTAACAGATTCTTAGATGAATAGTTAAGAGACATTAAAGAGGTTATATGTGAAAAAGCACAGTCAACCTATTAATTAAAAATATAGAGCTTTATCACTAACAAAAGAAACACAAATTAAAGCAATTTATAAAGCAATTATAACAAATTACACAAAGGCATCATACTCTAGAACTCATTATATTCAACACTGGATCAAGCAGTGGAGAACAGGCATATTCAAAAGCCTTGAGTCACACACTTCTTTTCAGCAAAGATATATGAGAGCTATCAGATCACTTAGACCCTTGACCCAGTAATTCCACTCTGGAAACTTATATCTAAGTATATATCTCAACAGGAAAAATAAGTACACCATATTATTTTTAGCAAAAGTAATGGAAACAACTCAAATATGCAACAAGCAGGGAATGGTTAAATAAATTATGATAGGTAACCCAAGGAGAACCGAAGGACACAGCTAATTAAAAGGAAAGAGCTCATTCCTGCAATAAAGCAAAAAGAACATTCTCAAAATTTTAAAGCTAAAAAAAGAAAAAAAAAAGAATGACATGGAAACACTACTTCTGGATAAAAAGTTATGTATACACATCAAAGATAAGTGTTTTGAAAATAGATTTTTAAAAACAGGTTATAGATTTTCACTATAAAGCTGATAATAAAGTTTGTATTAAAATAAAAACAGACTAATATAATGTTTTAAGTCATTGATATTCCCAAAGTTTGGTGACAGTTTCTCTGGGAAATCTCTTTGGGGAACTGTGAAGCAGACCAGCCTCTGTATAGTGAAACCTGCACTATTATGATAATATTTTCAATGTGAACACATGGTTCTGTAGTTGAAAAACTTAGTTTTGGTAAGTTGGAATGGAAGGTTCCAGGCTCTACTCAAATGTGTCAAACTTGAACTTTAGAAGATTGAATGTTTTAACAATAATAATTATAATTTGTCATTTAAATTGAATTCGAATAAATCTAATACTTTAAATCCTCAGCAATTTAATGTTATGGATAAAAGTCTAAAATATTTGGCTACTGTAAAATTAATCATCTTTTTTTTTTAGAGAGAGAGAGAGAATTTTTTTTAATATTTATTTTTTAGTTTTTGGTGGACACAACATCTTTATTTGTATGTGGTGCTGAGGATCGAACCCAGCGCCCTGTGCATGCCAGGTGAGCACGTTACCACTTGAGCCACATCCCCAGCCCTAAAATTAATCATCTTTAAGACATAAGTACATCTTATAATTGTCCACAGAGATTTGTAAGATCTACTCTCCCCAAATAATTTTTCCATGTTCTTTTCATTCTGCTTATTGACTGAGCTACTGCTTGAACTTTGGATATTTTTGATAAGTGACACTCCAGGTAAAGTGGGTTCCTGTGATAAAAGAGGATCATGATGTAAGAATAGGAAGATCAATGTCCTCTAAATTTCTTGAATTTTAGAACCAATAGAGTGTTAACAATTCTAATTTTTACTTACTTCATGTTATTGTCTATGAATAATGGTTATAGGTAGGTTTAGAAAAAGCAGTGATATAAAAATGGGCCTTTTTACTGTATATGTTCTCCATTAAAATATCACTAATATATCCTTTTACCCATAAAGGAAAAAAAAAAACACTAAAATCTTAAGCTTAGAACTAATCAAATTTAAACAAATAATTCAGTAAAAAATAACTGATAACTGATCCACTGACACAAAGCATTTAGAATAATTTCCCAATGGAAGTGACCATCCCTTAACTTCCATCAAAACATATTGTATCTTTTTGTGAAAAATATTTGTGGAAATAGAATTACAAAGCCCAAACTAACCTGAGAGCTCTGTACACAGGGATGGCTCACTATAAGGCTGCCTCCTAACCAGCATGGAGTCCGTGCCAGAAAGCCCCATTGCTACACTAAAAAAGTACAGTTTAAATGAGGTTAATTCTCTGAATTTTCTACCCTTCCAATTAAGGCAAATAAAAGAAGACAAAAAGCACAAGTGAATAATAATGCATGCTGAATCTCTGCAATTATATTAAGTACAGGCCAAAATATCACTCTTAAAAACATATGGGCAAAATACTTAAGAAATAAGTTATTCTAATTGCAGGATCAGAAGGAAAAATGATTAGACATTTTGGTTATGCAAATCTCTGATGTTATTTGGCTGTAACATACTTAGTAACACGTATAATAAAACATATGAAATGTATGTACATAACAGCAGTGTGTCAAAAAATGAAAATGCCGGTGTTCTTTGGTTCCTGAAACATCTTAACTTTTAAACTTTATATCTGGAGCACAAAACTTCACTCACTTCCAAGCTGCCTCTCTTTATTGGATTCAGCACTAATAATTTCTTCAGAAGATTTTCACAGTCTGTGGACATGTAGAAGGGGATTCGGTACTTCCCTCGCAAGACTCGCTCCCGCAGTTCCTTAAAAACATGAAAAAAAGCACTTACAACTAGCTTTTAAAATCATTGGTCAGGGGATAAAAACATAAACATCAAATTCAGCTGATACCTTTAAATTCTGGCCATCGAAAGGCAAGGAACCACTGACTAATGTATAGAGAATGACGCCAAGACTCCAAACGTCCACCTCGGGCCCGTCATACTTCTTTCCTTGGAAAAGCTCAGGAGCGGCATAGGGTGGGCTTCCACAAAATGTGTCCAATTTGTTCCCGACTGTGAATTCATTACTAAAACCAAAGTCAGCAATTTTAATATTCATATCAGCATCAAGGAGAAGATTTTCAGCCTAAGAGGAAAATAATAAAAAGCACAATGTAAAAAGCATATATGAAATAAAAATCTACATACTTGTTTCAGATCCCAGACTTATTTCTTGCCTCTCATTTTTAAATATAATACCAAATTTAGAAGCCCAGTATGACATACCAATACAACATCTATGTAAGACTGAATTTCAACACCAGAAAAGGAAAGCTTTCATTTACATGCACATATGTAACAATTTAAGAAAGGTTATTTAAGACCCATTTTCTCCTTTATGGTTAAGAAACATCACAGAACTACACCTCAGTAGGATGTATTCTAAAGTAAAATCCTATTCTACCTGGGACTTCAACCAAGTTTACCCAGAAGAGCTCTACTTGAACAGGGTGCCCTTGGTTGATGCAAGGTTCAAGGTCATATTACAAATCTGCTAGCCAAGGGTTCTGTGACTAGTTTATTCGTCCCTTTGTCCTTTCTTCTAGAATGCTTCCTCAATAAAGTAGTAGTTAAGAGAAACAAAACACAATCATACAGCCTCCCTAGGCTGGTTTCCTAAAATCTGATCACAGAATCATTCCAAGATAAAATTTTAAATGTGCCATTTGTAAATGCAAGCAATTCATTAAAGGACTTGCTTTTATACATATTTCATTTCAAACTCTGAGTTTCAATTGATGAACAGGCTAACAAAGTTAGAGGTTATCTTGTAGGTATGTTTTATCAGATTCCAAAACAGTAAAATTTGGCCAAAATGAAAATCAGAGACACTTCTGCTCTACCTCTGGAGGCTCCAACAGGCATCAGCACCAGGCACTCTACCTATCATATATCTGTTCCCTGCCTCACATTCCTTTTTCTTTTCCTTTCACATCCCTTCGTCTTTTCCTTATTTTATGGTATACTGGCTTGGGACATTGTTTTGGAAAATGGAAATATGCTTCACACTCAAAATAGGGAATTAAAAATGTGGTATCACTTTTGATATAAATATTACAAAACAAATACATTTGAGAGATTTATATGAGATCCTAACAATTATGGACTGTATAGAAAAAAAAATGAAGTTCTGATGTAAGGGTCTGGTCAGTGTATGTTTCTGAGGCTGTCTGTGAGCAAGCCGAATCTTCTTTAGTCTCCCTTGAACTGTCTGGATGGATATTAAAGTACCCATTCTGCCTCAGATGAGAGCTGCAAGGGGTTCCAAGCTCTCCTATTAGAAACAACTGGGAAAATTCTCTCCACTGGACTGGAGGGAAAACATCAATGGTGTTAAACAAGATTTTTTGGCAGAATTTTTTTTTTCCATGTAAGAAATGAGATGATAAGCTGAGAGTCAAACATAAAAGCGAGGGAACAATCTTTTCTTTCTTTGTGAAAGTGATTTCCCCTTGAACTATCTGAAGGAGGAAAGTGAGAAACAGAAACATTTGGAGCAGTAGAAAGTCTGTAAGCTCAGAGAAATGGAGCCAAAAAACAAGTTAACAATTTTAACAACCATTTAAAAAAGTGTATTCAAATATATCCCAAACTGGTACTAGTAATTGATAAAGGCAATGGAAAAAGAAGTGAAAAATAAAAATAAACTCCTACATAAAGAGATAAAGAACAATGCAAAATAGATTTGGAAGAATGAAGAAAAAAACTAAAATATTTTAGCTCAGAGATTCTACTTTCATTTTCTTTTGAAACCTAGTTGGCCACCATCATTTCTTGATTTTTTCATATATTTTAATGTTCATAAAAACATTTAGAAGCTTTCCTTATTTTGAGCTTTAATGCAGAGAATGGACACTGACTATATAGGTGAACATGGATTTGTACTTTGACCCTGCCTCTGTCTGAATGAGACCTCAGGCTTTTTTGTTGGGGACAGAGTTTTGCGTTTATCTATTTAAAACAAGCTAATCAAAGGTGAATATAATATCCTCTAGTCTTTGAGCTAAGTAACTTCATATCCATATTTTTCTTCATTTGCTTATGGATCCTTTCATAAAATTATCATGAGAATTATATAAAAACTACCTGCATAGCACTTAGAACTGGTTAGGTAATCAAAGAGTCAGCTCCAAATTTATTATTAAATATCTGCTAATCAAGATTTTTTTGTTATAAAATCAGATGCTTACCTTAAGATCACGGTGAACAATGCACTTTTGATGGCAATACTGTACGGCAGACACAATCTGAAATAAACATTTGAATAAGAGTCAAAATTATTTTATGGTAAAGACACTCTGATTTTTCTACAATCACCACCTCCAATTTAAATAAATTACTACCTCAGATTTCAAAGTGATAGTTAGTCATTTCACTATTCCTTTAGTTAAGAAAACTATGCAGATTTAAGTGATAAAACTTTTGCTCTTCAATGTCGAAAATGGGGGAATATAATATTGTCTTACTAATACATACTAAAATATTTTTTGTCAGAGCCCATGAAGGTTTTGTCTGATTACATGACTGAATGTGTATAATTTGTATTTTTGGCCAAAGGGTTTATTACAGTGTTGAAATAAGTACTTTAACATACATGAATTAGTATTATCTGGCTAGAGTTAAAAAACAAATCTCTGATATTAGGAATAACATCAATGTGTTCTAGGCATGTTTCCTTAATTTGTTAAGACCTTTTTAATGAAGTATTTAGTAATATCTTATATTTATCTGTTTAAACATAAATAGAAAAAAATTTTGAGCCCTAAAAACACCCAGTTATCAAAATGAAAATGAAATTTAATCTTACACCTCTCACTAATTCAGAAAAGCAAAGAATTTTACACTTATAATTACGTTTGGTATGTCGCCATAATTTTTAACCATTACAATATCTCTTTGGTGACAAGGACTAAACAGGGAAGACAGTTTAAACAAGTTTAAAGGCTAAAATATAAAGTGAGAAGTAGATTATAAACAATTTTATGACAGTTCTTTACTACGCAAAATAAGGAAATGGGAAGACTGATAACAATCAATGAAAAGGCTATTTTGTATTGTATCTGATGTATAAGGCAACGACCATTTTAATGCACAGCAGAACATTCAATTCTGTGGATTCATTTAAATGTAAACACAGTTTGAATGCTGAACATTGGTTAGTTATTACAAATGGAGAAAGAAATGAGATTTTTTAAAGTCTAAAGGTGATGTGAAATATGATCAGACTAATAGGAATATGGGTGAAAAAAAGAACTTCAAAGTAGAGTGAAACTGATATTTTGGTATTAGAAAATAATTCTAATGTGTATTGAAATGGTTCAAAGACAGAGAAGACATGAATTCAAAACAAAATAATCAACATAAAATGAATAATATATAATTCACTTGAATTCATTTGATTCAACAGTTTATTGAGTACCTGCTATGTGCAAGAAAATGTGCTGGCTGCTAGGGGAACACAAAAATGAACACTACATGAACTCTGCTCTTAAGAAGCTTACAATCTGACTGAAAAGGAAAAACATGTGCATGAGTAACTGTAATACAAGATAACATCATAAAAGCAGTACAAAATAGTGAGAGAATAATAAAAGATACAGAATAATTTCAGTTGGAAATGCTTCCTGGAATAGGTACTATTTGATCTAAGCCATTCTTGAAGGACGGGAATATTTGAAAATGTTAAGATTTTGGTATGGGGAAGTAGGGGGGTAAGGTGGTGAAATGTATTAACGACAAGGGGACACAATGTATTTGAAAAATTGACAGAAAAATGATGAGGGTGGGAGTCCAACTTTGATACAGAGGCTGGGAAAAGTCCTTGAATTCCCAAATAAGCAAGTACTATAGAACCACTAAGTTTGGGGCAGGGTGACTATGAATGCTTATGATCATTTAGAAGTTAGAGGCTTTTAAAATACTGTAGAACCTAACAGCAAATATTTGTTCTATTAGTCTTTTTAAGCAGTAATGCTTCAAGATTCCAACACCCAATTTTCACTAAATTATGTTTGCTGGACATAGGACGCTCTACATTTATATGCATATTTTATTGAATATACCACATAGGTTATAGTACCAGGCAACTTTGTATCACAGATGACAGAATTTTGCTGATAATGCTATTATCTTTTACAAGTCACACATCTGTAAGATACAGTGAAGGTGTGTTGCAAATAATGATTTGGTTATCAAATATAATCAGAAGCCATGCATTTCACGTCAGACAGAATGGTCTTCATGAAAGCAGTTCCACAGGGATATCTGGAATCAAAAATTCTCCACGCCTTTAAGCTTTAATAATGGAAAGCTAATTAAAGAGAATTCTCTGTATTAAGCATGTATTATCACAAAGAATGACCTCTGAGCTAGCATTCATTCAATGTGGTGGTTCACAGTGTTTCTATGCTTGCATTATAGGGAACAGTCTCTGCCACAAGAGAAGTTCTGGCTTCTGACTCACAGCAAACTTCTCCATCCACAAACCAGTTTCACTGCATTATTCTGTGGTTAGACTCTCCCATCTCAAAACATTCTGTATCCCATAAATAGTATGTGGGAGCTTCTTGATGATCCTTTTACTATGGACCTTGAAAATGGATTTATAATCAGCCTTAAGGCTACAAATGTCAGTGTGTTTTGGGGAAGGTGCAGTGGTTGAGGTTGCTCTGCCATTAATTACAAGTGGGTCAGAAGTTCCTATATTGAAAGCAATACTATGATTTTTTTGTAGCCCCTCAAATTTCAGGAATGCAGAGGTATTCTATGAGTGACAGCTGACAAATGGTCTTAAACTGTCATATACATCTTTGGTGTGTCTCACAGTGGGATCAAAGACATGTATTTGTATATCCTTGCTAATGTAGTACATCCTTTTTACTGCCAAAAAAAGTCCATAAAATACAGAAAAAAAAATAAAAGAAAAGAAAATCTACTTTTATTGATTCTTTAGAAGTTCATGTTAAATCCAGAAAGAAAAATAAGCTCCTCAGAAATAAACTTTCCAATTTTGGGGGAACACATACAGATATTAAATACATTTAATATTTACTGCACATGAATAATTTTAAAGAAAATATTTTTCACTGTTTTATATTTTAAACAGCATTAATTTGACACAGCTTCAGCAACATGAGGAATATAAATCTGATTTCTAAATAATTCAGACTTTATTCAAAAGACCAAACCAATTTTAGTATTTATTTGATCTGTATTTAAAAAAAATCTTTTTTCTTTTTTGCAGTCCCAGGGATAGGACCCAAGGTCCTATGTGTGTGCAAGGTATATGAAAATATTTTTGTCCTAACTTCTTATCCTACTTTTGTCCACCAGCCATGATAGTGAGTTTTTTAGAATAGCAGGCATTTTCAACTTCTCTAGTTTCATATAGTACCAAGAATAATTTTCTACATGAGTGTATTTTTCAGTAAAAAAGTGAAATTAGCTGACTAATTTAAAAAGTATAAGTAGCAATCATCTTTAAAATATACATTAATATATCAGTGGAAATATTTAACACCAATTGGAATTGACTTGCAGGTCTGCTACTAACTAAAACTACTGTGACTTATAATGAAAGAAGAACAAAAGTGAAGTTTGTAGTGCTTTACTTAAGAGTAAGCTTAGAATTTTGTCCCAGGACAGGAAAGAATTTAACAGCGAGGGGCTGAACATAATTTCATCTTCTTAATGTTGCTTTTCTCATTATTAGTTGCTTTTCCCTTTTCCTTTCACTTTTTTATATTAATACATCTAGGAATCTATCCTGAAAAAAGGATTATGCATGGCTTTGGTATAAAGCATTTCACCAACTGTGCTTAAAAAGGTAATAATTCTGTAAAATATCAATAATAAAAGTTTCACAAAACAAAGTCACTCCACAATCAATCTGGAGAATGCCATGTCCAGAACAAATAGGTATTGACTTCCCTTGCCCTTGAGGACATCTGAGTGTTTAATATGTTAACATACACATAACTACTCAAGAGACAGATCATATGTGGGCATTCAGTGTTGTCCAAACATACTGATCATAGAACCTCTTTAATTGTACAATCAGTGTTAATGCTTATTGAGCCGTTTTAAAGGAAATTTTAAATTGACTGAGGGAAAGTTTGAGATATAATGTTTTCTGCTGAAACTTTACTTTAGTACATTTTATGAATGGTTTACAACTCATTAATTAGTCATTCTATTATAGTTTATTAAGCAGGTTTATTTTAACTACTTGAGTCATAAAAATTAAAAAATAAAAATTCTAGATGGATTCAAATTATTTTTCTTATTTTATCATTTATGTAACAAGTCATATTGAAGTTGAATTGGAAATATGAATGTCTTACCACAGCCTTCAACCACATAGGCATCATGATTCCTTCCCTATAAGACTAAATAAAATTAACTATATTCTTTAAATCTATGAGTATTAGATTTTGACACCTTTTATTATAAAAAATAATATAACAACCTCTTTAAATAGTACACTTATATGCTGTATACGTAAAGTTAATAATACTTGGTAAGAATTACTGGACATAAGCATGAAAGGATTAAGTGTTTCTTTTCTATCTTAGTCTGGTCTATATTTCCAATACTCAAAGAGTTAAGATGAGTTTCACTTACAAAAATTCACTATTTATGACCATATAAAAGTAACTATCTGCAACTATTTAAAATTTAAATTCAGGAAAATAGGCTTTTTTTCCATTCTTAAGTATGACAATCATACTTCTTTTAAAATCATACTTTAACAAAAATGCCAGGTACTTTTAAAGTCCAGTTTGTGATACTCTCCACTGTACATCACTGAAAATATCAGCAAAACAAAGTTGAAAACTACTTTCCATACCTGCCTAAATTTTGCACGGGCCTCTTTCTCTTTCATTCTTCCATGGGCAACTAAGTAATCAAACACTTCACCTGAATCAGAAAGGTAAAGCAGACAGTAAAATATATGTAGATTTTTGGTTAACAATATATACAATATCAAGACTTTGCCTTATTTATAAAGAAACTTTTGGCCCACAATTTTCTGCTTATGTCTGTGTAAGTCACAACCTAATATACAAGTAGGAAAAAAAATTTAAAAAGAAAAGGAAAAACCCCATATAGAATTGAGCAGCAATGTATGATTTAACAAAATTCTTTTAAAAATTATAAAAACATAACCAAGAAAATTCATTTTCTGCTTTCAGGTATTATGTAAAAATATAGTCAATTCTTTATTATCCATGCTAATAAAGGGAAGCCACAGCATGGGCAATCAAAAATTATATTTGGCTTTGTATTGGGGCCTCCATTTCAAACAAAATAAAGTCATATTATGTTGGCTTTCTGTTTCTATGCATAATATAGTCTTGGTCAAATTCCATCTCACTACTTAATTACCACATTGACTTCTTTCTTTTCCTTTCGATATTCTGATTATGCTTTTCTTACTCTACTCATTTATTTTGGTAGCTAACTACAAATTATGCAGAATTAAATAATCCTTGAATATATCTCTATTATACCCAAAGAACTGCAAACTACTTGAACAACTTCATAATATCTGTACTTTATTTGTATCTTCATCTCCATGACAGAATACAAAGTGCATAGGCAACAAATATGTCTTGAAATAATTTGAAAATAACTAGAAGCTGAAGAAAATTTTTGCTGGATCCATTATTCACATGTTCCTAGTTTTTTTTTTTTTTTTTTTTTTTCATTTTTCCCTCATCAGTAATAGTTTAGAAAACAAATAATGTTTAATTACAATATTAAAAAAGTTATCTCAGTGTCAGAGAAAATTTTATTTTATGTCCTTGTAATTTACACTATATAGACATACATGAATATTAAAATTCTGCAAAATGATTTAAAGAGTTCTTGTAAAGTACAGCAGAGTAGTTAAAACTCAAGCTTTAGAATATGACCAATTTTGGCATGAATTCTAAGTAGCTACTAGAAAACATTTAGATTTCTAAACTTCATTAACTGCCTATTCACATGGCTGGTGTGAGGAATAAATGAAATAATGCATGTGCTTGGCACAATGACTGGCATATAGTAAGCACTCAATAAATGATATCTTTGTGCCTAGGTATACAAATATATTACATATACATATATGCAATATCAATCCTAGGATATAAGCAAAATATTAAAAATCAAATATGTAATGGATATGTCAGATGAACTTATATATCTACAATGCTGAACAGCATATTATATCAAGAATACATAAGTGATTAAATGGGATGAGAACAGAGAAATGAATGGATGCTCTAGTTGACTCATCAAAGCAGTTAATTCTAGATATGTGTTAATGTTGTTAATTTCAGTTAACCCATCAAAGTAGTTAATTCTAGATATATAGATTGAGGCTAGAAAAGATGTCTGCAAGATTTCAAAAATTTGGATTTATTCATAAGTTATTCCTAGATTGCTCGTACTTCAGATATTTATGTAACTTAGCTCTTCACTTATCATATACTGTTGGTGTATGATTTGCTTCTTCAACTCTACTGTAATCTTCCTGAGGGCAGAGACTTTAACTTTGCTCATTTGTTTATTCCCAGGACCTAGAATATTACCTGGTAAATGTTTAATAAATACTGTTGGCATGAACAAAAGAAGGAATAAATACACTATTTCAGAGTAGCACTGACACCTATTTTTTATAGGTTCCTTTGGATTAAATATGCTTCAAAAATCATGAAGGATTTCCCTAATTTCCTAATCACTGAAAATCCATTAGTGAATAAGAATCAAGTAATCAACTCCTGGCAAAGAGGTAGCTGTCTGACTCAGCTCTTGTTCACGCTGAATTTCTAGTGTGCGTGTCACATTCAATCTTAAAGTATCTAGATATTTCAGATGAAAAATATTAAGTGTTTTATTTTCCATAGTCACCATGCCATTTATGGATTTAAAGGGCAAGAAAATGATTCTATATTTACTACCAAAGAACCATGATAGTTGTGTTACAGAATCACTGATCAGCAAGAACCAACGAAAAGTTATCACCAGGTATCAGAATTGAATGAGAGACTGGCTGGATTGGGTAGAATGCCAGAACCCATTTCTCTATCCCACTCCCTGCTGCCCCTCCCAGCTATGCCACTAAAGGAAAGCAGTGATGACCCTGTGAGTTCTGTTCCTCCATCACTCCCTTTCATTAGCACCAATAGAGACTTGACTGTACATGTCGGTAACAGTTAAATCAGCTCTTATATTAATATTAACCCAGCCTTGTGGTGGACCTTCACAACCACAGAAAGGTATGCATAGATTTTAATGCCCTATAATTTCTCATTTCAAAGCATGTCTAGCCCCAAACTATTTTTCCTTAAAAAAAAAATAGTCTAAATGAACTAAAAATAACATTCCAGGTTCTCATATCTAACTAAAGGATAGAAAAATAAAAATTCACTATGTGATATTTGCAGGTTTATTACTTTTATTATAGATCTGTTTTATGCAAATTTGCATGACTATATAAATAATAAATTATAAAAATCCAGTAATAATAAGCATCACTGACCCAGATTTTCATGTTAAATTAAAAAAACCTATATCAAAATATTTTCAGAGTGAAAAAGTTTCATAAAAAGCAAATCCACTAAAACATCTAATCTGTATAAATCACTGAAAATGTAATCAAGTATGTTTAATATTTATAGTAAAATTCCTAGAAATCTGAGACCATATAAAAATACATAGTGTACATGCTACAGACTAGAGTAAATCCCTCTGTATTCCAGTGTGCGTAAAATATGCATCACCATAAAATCTATTAACTTTACAAGTTAAAAGGACTAAATATTAAGTTAAACACTAAGTTTTTCTGTTGAACACAAAAAGTTAAACAACCAAGTAATTTCAGCTATCCTTTCTTTTCCAGTTGCTTAAGTTCTCTAGGTCTTCAAAATGTTTCTTTAGGTACTCTTTTTTTTACTTGTTAAATGATTTAATTCCATAAATTTTAAATAAATTCCAGAGAAGTCCTAATAATAATAATTTTGAGTCAATGTATTGTTATACGAAGAAAATAAATGTGATTTTCTATTATATCTCAGCACTTAAAAATCTACATATGTATCTTTCTATCTCCTTGTCAAGGCAGTGCTCTAATATAAAATATATAGATACTTATTTAAATTGAAACATTTTATGGATTATTTTGGAAAAGTACATAAATTGAAAAATCTGTCACATGTGAACAGTCAGTGAAATAAACATATGACCTCAAACATACTTTTACTATAGACTTGATTAAATCTCAGTATTTTCTGTACTGAGATTCTATTTAGAGCCAAGAGTTCCTAATCATAATATATTGTATTTAAATATGCAAATCAAAACAGTCAAAAGATTCCAAAACAAAAAAAGTCCCTAAGTATTTTTTAAATAAGCCAAAACTTCTATTTATAATGTAGGACTAAAAGGTCTTGAAAACAAACACTGAATTTTCCTTAAGATTATAATTTTTAAAGGCATTTTAATAAATTATAGATTGGTTTATAACACTGAAAGCAAATGTCATGCTGAACTGTTAGGTGTTATTAATTCTGTGTCATTAAAGGGAACTTTTCAATCCCCCTCATTTCTTACCCCCACTTGCATACTCCATGACTAAATAGAGGGTCTTCTCAGTTTCTATAACTTCAAACAATTTCACTGTAAAAAAAATTAAAGATATAACTTTATGATTGTTAGCACAGAATGGATATGCTAAGCAAATCTAATGTAACACTAAACAAGTGGAAAATTGGAGTATTTGCTAAAAATGTTTAACTACAACTTGAAACTCAAAAAGTCTCTCAAGAGTATTACTCCTACAGAAGAAAAGTATATGCCCAAACTTCTTAAGTGAAAAAAGTTTCTAAGATTAAGAAAAATTACCTTTTCTAATTAAGAGTAAGTTAATAAAAGTGAAATCTTAAAAATCAGAAATATAAAAGTTTAACCAAAGCTTAAAAACAGACTATGTTGTAATGAGGTCTCATAAAAAACTAAGCGAACTTTGATACAAAAAAAAAAAATCTAAATTTATGTGATACTATAAAAGTGTCTGGCAAAAGAAACTAAATTAGACTTACACAGTTGAAAGTCTTCACCACAAATAATCACAATAGCTATATACAAATAAGATTTCTAAATGCTCAAGAAACAAGTGTATAAAAATGAGCAGATTTTTAAATAACTGGGAGGATACCAAGGATTGAACTCAGGGGCACTTGACCGCCGAGTCACATCCCCAGCCCTATTTCATGTTTTTTATTTAGAGACAGTATCTTCCTGAGTTGCTAATGCCTCGCTTGTGCTGAGGCTGGTTTTGAACTCACCATCCTCCTGTCTCAGGCCCTCAAGCTGCTGGGATTATAAGCATGCACTACATGGTTTTTTACTTTTTACAATTACGTATAATAATATATCTGATCTATAAATTTTTTTTGTAAAGATGGAGAAAATCAGAACTCACAAAAACCAAATCCATTAAAACTGAATGTAAGCATTTTCTTTAAAATGCAAAGTTCTTTTGCTTATCATATTTTGATAATATGCACTCAAGTGCATATTATCAAAATATCTGGAATTCATATCTTATAAACATGTAAATGGTATGCAATCTCTCTGTACCCAGATTTAGTAAGGAGGTAAAAAATATTTGTATGTATTAGCTCCAAGTTATACCAATTATTCTGGTGATAAGCAGAAGACATCAAGATAGTAAAAAACATAATTTGTAATCTTCAGTTAACTTCCTTATCATCTTTTTTTATACAATGTATCACTTTCCCAGGTTATCACTTTTTTTCAGTTTATATAAAGCATCCTTAACATTGGACCTTTTCAAATACCCTCAAATTAAGGATAATACTTTGTCATTAATTGTATATATAAATTGCATACCTATATTAGGATGATTCAGTATCTTCATTATTCTTACTTCTCGAAACAACTGTTAAAGAAAACAGGTAGATATAGTTCTGTTAAAAAAAAAAAGACAAGACTCAAGCAGAGAGCCAATTGAAATATTTATTTGAAAAAATTCACCTGCTTACAAGACACTACAACATTCTGGTAATGAGTAGAAACAAGAGATGTCTCTCAGTGCTATCTATGCACAAATGACCTATGTAACTTAGATTTAACAGATCAGTCTCAGAGACTTGGTTTCGAAAAGAATTTTAACTAAGTGAACATAAATGGTTCTGTGCCTGTGTGGTAAGTGAATGCACTATAAGCAATAAAACTAACATTTTTATTCAACGACTCTCTGACTAGGAACAAAAGAAAAAAATACTGTGGAAATGAAATAAAACGATCCTTCACATGTTCTTTATCCAGAAACAACTTCATTGGGGGGTACAACTGTTTAAATATCTCTCTTCTGGCTGACCAGACATTTTAATGAAAGATTCAGGAGCATTTTTAGGTATACTTGTAGAATAATAAGAAAGGATAACAAAATATATTCAGTACTTTATATGAAACTAAAACAAAATGGCAAGAAATTGCTTCTCTATATGGCCCATTTTTCAAAGGTATGACTTGGCATTTTTCCCCTCTCTTCTGTTTTTGCATATGTGTTAGATTCTAAGTCAAGCAATTTGTTCAAGAAAAGAGAATAACCAAGAATTGGTGATATTCCAAAAAGTCTATATTAAGACATATGAGTTCTGTCAGAATAAAATCTAAATTCGGTACTTCCAGAGGTGACATTCATCCAAAGAAGATATATAATGGCTAAAAAAGAAAATGAAAAGATGCTCTGCATTGTTAATCATTAGGAAATCACAAATCAAATCTGCAAGGCAATACAACCTCACACCTATTAGGATGACTAATACAAAAAAACAAAACAAAAATGCAAACAAAACACACTCCAAGAAAATAATAAGTGTAGAATGTGGTTAAAATGGGACCCTTGTATACTGCGGATGGGAATGTTAAATGATGAAGCTTCTGTGAATCAATTAGATCAATACAGTATTATAAAAAACAATATTCTTAAAATAATTAACAGAATTACCATATGATTTAGCACTTCTAGGTATATACAGTATACTCAAAATAATTGAAATTGAGGACTCTACAAATATTTGTACACCAATGTCCACAGCAGCATTATTCACATTAGCCAAAATGTGGAAGCAACTCAGAATTTGTCAACAGATAAATAGATAAACAAAATGCAGTATATACACATAATGGAATATTATTCAGCTTTAAAAAAAAAGGAAACTCTGACACATACCACAACATGGATTGAACCTTGAGGAAGCTGCTAAGTGAAATACTCCAATCACAAAAGGACAAGTACTGTACAACTATATTCATAAAAGGATCTAAAGCAGAGTAGATGAATTCATAAAAATGGAAGGTAGAATAAGGTTGCAAAGGGCTGGGAGGATGTGAGAGTGATGGTTGCTGTTTAATAAGTACAGAGTTTGGGAATATGAAAACAGTTCTGGAGATGGATCGTATTGGCTGCACAATGTGAATATACTTAACGCCACTGAACTGTACACTTAAAAATGGATAAAATAGTAAATTGTATTCACATTTTATCATGATCTGAAAAGAATTAAATATAAGGTACAAAACACACCAATAAAATTTCATTCCAATGGAAAAGCCTAATTAATACTTAAGACTTACCTGCTACAAACAGCTTGCCCTAGCTATCCTCAATAATTCCTACATGAGATCTAGGAAGTTTCTAAGTCTGTAAGTGTATATATTCATGTAAGTAAATAGAATACAAAGACAAGTTAATTCACATTCAAGACAACCCCTCTCTATAACTGTGAAATATGTTCTTGGTTTGTGTTTGGGACAAAGCACTCAACTTAACCTCTTGATGGTTTTCAGTACACTTGAGATATCCTCCCCAGCTCTAAAACTATTTTCCTAACCATTTGCCTTCCTCTTATTGACTGCTCAGTCTTCCACTAGATCCTCTCCCTGCTCTTCAGCCTTTAACACAAGGACTCCTAAGTGTTCAGTTCTTAGCCCCCTTATCTTCCCACTCTACGTGCTCTTCCTGGGTGCTTTCATAGCTTCAAATATCAGCAATTTGATGCCAACTCCTATATTTATATTCCTCATCCAGAACATTTTTTTAATTTCAAAAGTTAATCCCCACATTATGTACTCTATATTTTCACTTGATTCTCTCACAGGAATTCAAGCCTAATATTTGATTTCTCTCAAATTGGTGGTTTACCAATGCCATTAGATCAAAATCCATAATTGTGAACAACCAAGCCCTGAAAATCAAGATCCCATTTCCCTCTCCAGCCTCATCTCATGAAACTCTTGCTCCCAGAAGAATTGCACTCCAGCCATCCAGCATTTTCCCCTCAGTTCTCTGTACTCATTCGGTCCTTCCCTGATACTCAGGGCCTTACAAAATCAGCCTCTCTGACTGGAATGAACGTTCTTCTCCCTATTTGTTTTTTGGGACATAAAATATTTCAAATCTTTTGAAAAGTACAAAAATAAATGAAGAACCTCAAAATTTATCACTAAGATTAAACAAATGGTGTATGTGCATTATGTTATAGCTTTATATTTTTTATTTAAGAATTATGAATTTTGGTTACTATTTTAATAAGGTATTATTAATACATTAACCATTACAGTCAGAACTAGAGACACCCCCACCTCTTTCTCTCCCTTTTCATCCTAAGCATTACCCTAAGGTACATACCATTGTACATATTTCATACTTTTTCTATACGTAGCAATGTTCAATTTCTGTGCTTTAGACTTTAGATAAATGGAATCATATTGAATATATCTTTCTAAACTTATCCTTCTTTTGACATCCTGCTTTGAGAATTATCCCTATATTTAGATATAGATCTGGCTCATCTATCTTACTTGCTGTATTCTATTGCATTATTTCAAGACTCTATCATTTATACACTGTGCTTCCTACCGAGGATGCTTAATTTACTTCCACTTTTCACTACTGCAAACACTGCTATAATGAACATTTCTGAATGCTTCCCTAAGGTATACCTAGAAATAATTGTTTGATAGCGGGGTATACACATCTTAAATTTTGTTAGGTCTTGCCAAATTACTAGCTCCAGCCTCTGCCCCATTCTTCATCTGAAGGCCTAGTATTGAAGAAATATCAGTACCAATCAGTGCCTAGACCACTCTACCTTTGGGGCCCCATAGTCCTAATGACTTCTTGGAGCTCCAAGTCACTCATGATTTTGCTGACTGGAACCTGTAACAAAGGGAGGCAGCTTCACACCCAAGAAGAGTCCCTTGATGTTTTGGACTCTTCATCTCCCAAACAGGTATAACAGGTTTTGAAAAGTGAATATTACCTTTTCCTGGGCTCTTGTTGAAACTAAATACCTGACCACAGAGGGACAGCCACATTCACTGACCAAATTGCCTTATTCGGACATGTGAATCAGGAAAAGGCAAGAAAGGTAGCACCAGAAGTTGTTTTACACACACACACACACATTAATTTTTTTAAATTTTAAGTTGACAGCAAATTGAGCAGAAAGTACAAAGTTTTTATACTCCCTTGCCCTTCCTAAACACATACAGCCTCATCCCCAACCCCATCAAAATCCCAAACCAGGGTGGTGTATTTATTTTAATCAATGAACCTGTACTTAACAAACCATTATCACTAAAAGACCATACTTTATATTAGGATTCATTCTTGTGTTGTACATTCTGTGAGTCTGGACAAAAGTATAACATGTAATATTCCTCTATGCCGAAATACTCTGCACTCTACCTATTTACCCTCAGACCTTAGTACCCACTAATCTTTTTACTGTTCCCATAGTTTTGCCTTTCCAGAATGTCATATACTTAGAATAATATGTTATGTAGCCTTTTCAGATTCACTCAATAATAGTCATTTCAGGTTCCTCTATGTCTTCTCAAGGATTGATAGTTCATTTCCTTTCAGTGCCAAACAATACTTCACTATTTAACTGTACCACATATTATTTATCCATTCACCCATTGAAAGACAGCTTGGTTGCTTCCAAGTTTTGTCAATTATGAAGAAAGCTGATATCAACATCTGTGTGCAGCTGTCTGTGTAGACCTATGTTTTCACCTTCTTTGGTAAATACTGAAGAGGGCAACTGCAGATCACAGAGTAAAAGTACATTTAGTCTGATAAGAAACTGACAAGTTTCTTATCCACCATGGCTGTACCATTTTGCATTCCCACCAGCAATGTGAGAGTTCCAGTTGCTCCACATCTTTATCAGTATTTGGTGTTGTCAGTGTTTTGAATTTTCACCATTCTAACAGGGTATGTATTGGTATTTCATCATTGTTTTAATTTTCATTTCCCTGATGACATTGAGGTAAAGCATCTTTCCAATTTATTTGCCATTTGTATAGTTTCTTCAATAAAGTATTTGTTCAGATCATTTCTCCATGTTTCAATAAACAAATTATGCTGTTTGTTTTCATAAGTTTTTTCAAACCAGTTTTTGAGGAAGCTGTTCCAATGCTCAATAACACCAGATGCAGGCCTGTGGACAATGAGGAACATGGAATATACATCAGGTTGATTCATTTGTAACACAAGAAAATGGGTCTTTACTCTGGGCAGTCCTGGAGGCCCTGGGCAGAAGGAGCCAGAAATTACATACTCTCACTTCTTCCCTGGGGGTCTCAGGGAGGTTAGGACCTTGGTCTGAGTGGTGTGCCCTCAGGTCAGAAGGAAAGAATATGCCTGGAATTTGGGTGAATATTTAGAATGAAGCACTGAAGGAACATTCAATACTAAAACAAAGGAGATGCTACTCCTGTCTGTTCCCAGGACTGACCACAGGGGTAAAGCTCTGTAGGGTCTCCTCTGTTCTTTGTGGGGAGCTCCTCATAATGTACTCAGGGTTCTTACCTGGGCTTCTGACCTCACCTGGGCCTATTTTCTCTGCCAACCTGATCCCCCAA